TGAGGGTCAGAGGTCAACCAGAGACGGAGGGTATGGGGGGGGGGGGGGGGGGGTCTGTGGGGGGGGGGGTGTTGATCGTGAGGTGTTTGGGTGGGGGGGGTGGGGAGGGTTCGTGTTGGGTGGGTGTGGTTGTTGTTGTGTTTGTTTGGCTGTTTGTGTTTTTGGTTGTTTTCATATTTCAGACCAGAGACTGAGGGTCAGAGGGTCAGACCAAGACGAGGGTCCGAGGTCAGACCAGAGACGGAGGGTCAGAGTCCACCAGAGACAGAGGGTCAGAGGGAACATCGTGACACAGAGCTGGTTAATAATAACACAGGACACTGAACCGGGAACTCCTCCTCGCACCGCCACCCGTAAAAACGACCAATACGTGATGAAGTTACCCTGCCTTCTAAGGGCTGGCTGCCCTGCCTGTTCTAAGGGCGGCTGCCCTGCCTGACTAAGGGCTGGCTACCCTTCCCTGCCTGAACAAGCTGGCTACCCGCCCTGCCTGACTAAGGGCGGCTGCCCTGCCCTGACTAAGGGCTGGCTACCTTGCCCCGCAGATAAGGGTGGCTGCCTGCCTGAACTACGGAGCTGGCTGCCCTGCCTGACTAAGGGCTGGCTGCCTGCCCTTCTAAGGTCTGGCTGCCCTGCTGACTAAGGGCTGGCCTGCCCCTGCCTGTCTAGGGCTGGCGTGCCCTCCTGTACTAAGGGCTGGCTGCCCGCCTGCACTAAGGGCTAGGCTTGCCCTGCCTGACTGAAGGGCTGGCTGCGCTGCCTGACTAAGGGGCTGGCTCCCTGCCTGTCTAAGGGCTGGCTGCCCTGCTGTCTAAGGGCTGGCTGTCCCTGCCTGTCTAGGGCTGGCTCCCTGCCTGTCTAAGGCTGGCTGCCCTGCCTGTCTAAGGCTGGCTGCCCTGCCTGTCTAGGGCTGGCTGCCCTGCCTGTCTAAGGGCTGGCTGCCCCTGCCTCTCTAAGGTCTGGCTGCCCTCCTGTCTAAGGCTGCTGCCCTGCCTGCCTAAGGGCTGGGCTGCCCTGCCTGTCTAAGGGCTGCTAGCCCTGCCTGACTAAGGCTGGCTGCCCTGCATGTGTTTGGAACCAGTGTCATTTTATACGATTATCCTTAAGAGTCTATTGAGGCACCCGTGCGTCATCTCAGTAACATCATACAAAAAATCCCCATCAAAATCCGTCAGTTTAAACTAAAGTTTTTTTTACATGGGCTGCGTCTCAAATCCACCACATCCGCTTAGTTGGCCTTCCGCATCTGTGGTGGAAGGTGGCCGAGCTAACATTGGGGTTCTCATGAAAACGCCTTGTAGGCGCTCAAACAGTTTGGAATACGACCCTCAAGTGTCACAGGACTCATATGAAGTCTAACGCTGACGTGCCAGCTGTCTGTAGCGTCCTCAACTATGGAAAGGGAGACTCTCAGGAAACACCATGGTGTCACGGGACTCATCTGTCCTCACTATGGAGAAAGGGGAGAGACTCAGGGAAACACCATGGGTGTCCCGGGACTCATCTGTCCTCACTATGGAAAGGGAGACTCTCAGGAAACACGATGGTGTCACGGGACTCATCTGTCCTCACTATGGAAAGGGGAGACTCTCAGGAAACACCAGTGGTGTCCCGGACTCTCTGTCCTCACTATGGAAAGGGGGAGACTCTCAGGAACACATGGTGTCACGGACTCATCTGTCCTCACTATGGAAAGGGGAGACTCTCAGGAACCACCCATGGTGTCACGGGACTCATCTGTCCTCACTATGGAAAGGGGAACTCTCAGGAAACACGATGGTGGTCACGGACTCATCTGTCCTCACTATGGAAAGGGGGAGACTCTCAGGAAAACACGATGGTGTCACGGGACTCATCTGTCCTCACTATGGAAAGGGGAGACATCTCAGGAAAACACGATGGTGTCACGGGACTCATCTGTCCTCACTATGGAAAGGGGAGAATCTCAGGGAAACACGATGGTGTCACGGGACTCATCTGTCCTCACTATGGAAAGGTGGAGACTCTCGGGAAACACGATGGTGTCACGGGACTCATCTGAAGGTAACCCATACAAACGGATGGAAGTATAGAGGTAGTTTTGCGGCAAATAAAATCAAAAAAGATATAAGGGGTTAAATATGTGTCCAAAAAAAACTGTGGTGGTAAAGGCCAAATTCTATATATTTTTTTATACCTAACGCGGTCCTAAAATTCCTAATCAAATAGCTAAATGATCCATGGTATGACCATCTTAAAACAATTCCATATGTTTCGCTTAGTAACCACCCCCAAGTCCTTCAAATCTCCCACTTGACACGGACAGCATTAATTCATAACCCAAAATACAAGCCCTTCAAAGCTTCAGCAGCATGTTTGTGAGAAGTGCTCTCAGCCTTTATTTGGTTTGTCTCCAGACAAAGGCTATTCAGTAATGCTGTCTGTACCGTCTGACCAACAATCAGACCATGACAGAACTGGACTGTTTTAAAAATACATCAGTTGGATTTCAGGCCTCTGTTCTATAAATAACCATGACGACCCAGCAGCAGAACTGGTTGATGACTTCATATTTAGCCTGAAATATTTGGTGTGCTGTGTCCAGCACCATAGCAGACCAAACTGTGTCAGAGCGGATGATCGGTTGGCCAGAGCATATTTATAATAATTTGTACACTGCAAATTGACAACAACTAAACCTAAAAAGACTAGCCGGTGGGATTAAGGTCTGGAGACTGGCTAGGCCACTCCAGGACCTTAATGTGCTTCTTCTTGAGCCACTCCTTTGTTGCCTTGGCCATGTGGTTTTGGGTCATTGTCATGCTGGAATACCCATCCACGACCCATTTTCAATGCCCTGGTTGAGGGAAGGAGGTTCTCACCCAAGATTTTGACGGGTACATGGCCCCATCCATCGTCCCTTTGATGCGGTGAAGTTGTCCTGTCCCCTTAGCAGAAAAACACCCCCAAAGCATAATGTTTCCACCTCCACGTTTGACGATGGGGATGGTTGTTCTTGGGGTCATAGGCAGCATTCCTCCTCCTCCAAACACGGCGAGTTGAGTTGATGCCAAAGAGCTCGATTTTGGTCTCATCTGACCACAACACTTTCACCCAGTTCTCCTCTGAATCATTCAGATGTTCATTGGCAAACTTCAGACTGCCCTGTATATGTGCTTTCTTGAGCAGGGGGACCTTGCGGGCGCTGCATGATTTCAGTCCTTCACAGCGTAGTGGTGTTTACCAATTGTTTTCTTGGTGACTATGGTCCCAGCTGCCTTGAGATCATTACAAGATCCTCCCGTGTAGTTCTGGGCTGATTCCTCACCGTTCTCATGATCATTGCAACTCCCACGAGGTGAGATCTTGCATGGAGCCCCAGGCCGAGGGAGATTGACAGTTATTTTGTGTTTCTTCCATTTGCGAATAATCGCACCAACTGTTGCACCTTCTCACCAAGCTGCTTGGCGATGGTCTTGTAGCCCATTCCAGCCTTGTATAGGTCTACAATCTTGTCCCTGACATCCTTGGACAGCTCTTTGGTCTTGGCCATGGTGGAGAGTTTGGAATCTGATTGATTGATTGCTTCTGTGGACAGGTGTCTTTTACACAGGTAACAAACTGAGATTAGGAGCACTCCTTTAAGAGTGTGCTCCTAATCTCAGCTCGTTACCTGTATAAAAGACACCTGGGAGCCAGAAATCTTTCTGATGAGAGGGGGTCAAATACTTACTTCCCTCATAAAATGCAAATCGATTTTATAACATTTTTGACATTGCGTTTTTTCTGGATTTTGTTGTTGTTATTCTGTCTCTCACTGTTCAAATAAACCTACCATTAAAATTATAGACTGATATTTCTTTGTCAGTGGGCAAACTTACAAAATCAGCAGGGGATCAAATACTTTTTTCCCTTCACTGTAGCCTCCCTACTGTTTATTTTATTTTAACTGCTCTTTAGTTATTTGCTTTTATTTTTTACTTAACACTTTTTTATTTTATTTTTTCTTTAGAAAACTGCATTGTTGATTAAGGGCTTGTAAGTCAGCATTCCACTGTATTGTCTACACGTTGTATTCGGCGCATGTGGCAATAAAAAATGTGATTTGATTTGAAACAGATGAAAAATAAGAGTTTGTGCAAATTGTAAAACTATAATAAAAAATTTAAAAAATACTGGAAAAAGTAACTTGAATTTATTAAAACACAAATTAAAAAAAAACAAATCACATTAGAAAGCCAAATTTTTTGATTTTAAACTACAATCAAAGGGGCAACATTTTGAAATTCACGATCAGAAAAGAAAAAGAAAATGCCAAAAAGAAAAGAAGCCAGGGGGGGAGGGGGGGGGCCAGGGGGGGGGGGAGGGGTAGGGCCAGGGGGGGGAGGGGGGGGCCGGGGGGGTGAGGGTAGGGCAAGGGGGGGGGGGGGGGGGAGGGAGGGGGGGTGAGGGGTAGGGAGGGGGGGTGAGGGAGGGCCCGGGGGGGGGGTGAGGGGTAGGGCGGGGGGGTGAGGGGTAGGGAAAAGGGGGGGTGGGGGGAGGGCCGGGGGGTGAGGGGGGGAAGGGAAAAGGGGGGGGGGGGTAGGGAAAAGGGGGGGGAGGGGGGTAGGGCCCGGGGGGGAGTGAGGGGGGGTGGGGGGTAGGGCCCAAAAGGGGGGGGAGGGCAGGGGGGGGGGGGGGGGGTAGGGGAAAGGGGGGGGAGGGGGGGAGGGAAAGCGGGTTACGTTCGCTAACGTTTTAGGCCAGGGTTTTGGGGGGGGGTAGTGACCAGGGTTGGCGGGGGGGGTAGGGAACAGGGGGGGTGGGGGCCAGGGGGGGGGGGGCGTGAGGGGTAGGGTCAAGGCGGGCCAGGGGGGGGCGGTGGGGCCAGGGGGATACTTTTATCAGGGTATTTGGGGGCTGCATCAAAAATGGCAGCCTATTTCCAAAAGTAGTGCACTATATAGGGAATAGGGTGCCATTTGGGATCCAGTCAGAGTGTCCATGAGCTAGTCAAAGGGGATGTGTGTGTGTCCACGGAGCTACCAGGAGCTGAAGTCTCCAAAGCCAGTCTTTCCTTTGGCCTTCTTGGCTCCGCTGGTCACTCCACTGGTAGACGGTCCACTGTCCTCTACTGCTGGACGCTTCCTACACACACAACACAGGATGGGGTTAATGGCGTGTGCGTGTGCGTGCGTGCGTGTGTGTGTGTGTGTGTGTGCGTTGCCTCACGTGGTTGTGGTGCTGGTAGCAGGGTTGATGTATTTTCCTATTCCAGCCTTGAAGGTCTTGGGGGCCTGATCTGCTTTAGTCTTCTTCTGAGACCCACTGGTCTGAGCTCTCTCCTCCTCCTGCTTCTCTACCTCCCTGTGGCGCTCCGCTGCAATCTACACACACCCCAACAATCTCAGTGCTCATCAGAAACTCAGCTCTCTTGATTGTATGTTGTGTTTAAACATGTCAGGAGCATAAAGCAGCTAACTGACAACATCTTACTGGATCATAGACCAAACAAACACACCAACCTGGGCATCTGCCTCTTCATAAGGGTCCACGAACACAGTGGCACTCAGCAGCTTGATCTCAGACTGGAGATTGAGACAGAAAAAGAGAAGAGAGAAGAGAGAAGAGAGTGAGTATAGTTTAAGCCCCTGATGGGTTAGTGGGAGCTGGAGGCTTCAGTCAGTTCTAGCTGAGTTCTGGGAGTCTGTTTCTACTAAAGTGAGTCATCAGGTAACAGGTATGAACAGGGGATCACTACTGCTAACAGACAGGAAGGAGAGGAAGGGTAACAGGTATGAACAGGGGATCACAACAGCTAACAGACAGGAAGGAGAGGAAGGGTAACAGGTATGAACAGGGGATCACTACTGCTAACAGACAGGAAGGAGAGGAAGGGTAACAGGTATGAACAGGGGATCACTACTGCTAACAGACAGGAAGGGTAACAGGTATGAACAGGGGATCACTACTGCTAACAGACAGGAAGGAGAGGAAGGGTAACAGGTATGAACAGGGGATCACTACTGCTAACAGACAGGAAGGGTAACAGGTATGAACAGGGGATCACTACTGCTAACAGACAGGAAGGAGAGGAAGGGTAACAGGTATGAACAGGGGATCACTACTGCTAACAGACAGGAAGGGGTAACAGGTATGAACAGGGGATCACTACTGCTAACAGACAGGAAGGAGAGGAAGGGTAACAGGTATGAACAGGGGATCACTACTGCTAACAGACAGGAAGGAGAGGAAGGGTAACGGGTATGAACAGGGGATCACTACTGCTAACAGACAGGAAGGGTAACAGGTATGAACAGGGGATCACTACTGCTAACAGACAGGAAGGGTAACAGGTATGAACAGGGGATCACTACTGCTAACAGACAGGAAGGGTAACAGGTATGAACAGGGGATCACTACTGCTAACAGACAGGAAGGAGAGGAAGGAGCTAAAACAAGGGATCTTTCTCTGTTGTACTTCTCTGCTCCATCCAGTGGGTGTGTCAGGGTTTCCGTTAGCCCGTAATAGCTGGCTTTTGGACCATAAAAAAAAAGATAGAAAAGCCGATAAATAAAATTGGCGCTGGCCCATTGTCCGAGAGAAGGTGTTTTCCCGTTAATTACATTATGGAACGAACATTCTCGTTGGGCCTACTGCTTGCGGTGCTTGTAATGTGTAGAAATAAATAGTTAATCAACGTTTTAAGCTAAACGTTCTGATCTGTGGCATCAGACTCATTGCTTTTTAAATTTGTATTTTTTAATGTCGCCTAGGCCTACTGGTTGTATGAATCTGGGATCTATCATCTCACAACTGTCTGTTTGGAATAGGCTATTTCTTTCTCAACAAGCTGACCAATAGAATAGGTCAACTTTTCTACTCCGGCAGATAGTAGATTGACACAGGCTAGTGATTTGGCTGTTAGGTACTGGTCCTGTTGGCTGAGGAAGAGTAAACGTGGACAGTTATTTTAACATCTTCAAAGTGCACATCAGAATTGGGTAAGAAGGACCACGTCATTGCGTCCTCCACTTGCATGTTCTGTTAATTTGAATGACCATATTGTAAATGTGATTTCTGTCTTTCTGAGCACCATGGGGTGGACGCCCTAATCAGGTCACGCACCCAATGCATATGGTGTTACGCACTCCTCTCGGAAGATGCATATGGGTCCGGTTAATTAAATGTAAAATGCTGCTGGTCAAATGTCCGGCGCCGACAGTCTCCTAACGGAAACCCTGGTGTGTGTGTGTGTGTGTGTGTGTGTGTGTGTACCCTGGGTTTATCTGTTTTAGGATCAGCCTCTATGTTCTCCATGGCTGTCAGAGCCTCGAAGCCTCCTACCACCCTGGGAAGAAACAAGGCAACACGTCTTCAAAACTACCACACACACACACACACACACACACACACAGAAAGCTTCCTTTCTATACAACATTAAACAGGTCAACATTAAACAGGTCAACATTAAACAGGTCAACATTCAGAAGGCCCTGACGACTGTGTGATCACGCTCTCCGTAGCCGATGTGAGTAAGACCTTTAAAACAGGTCAACATTCCCAAGGCCACAGGGCCAGACGGATTACCAGGACGTGTACTCAGAGCATCTGACCAGCTGGCAAGTGTCTTCACTGACATTTTCAACCTCCATCTGACCCAGTCTGAAATATCTACATGTTTCAAGCAGACCACCATGGTCCCTGTGCCCAACAATGCCAAGGTAACCTGTCAAAATGACTATCGCCCCATAGCACTCACATATGTAGCCATGAAATGCTTTGAAAGGCTGGTCATGGCTCACATCAGCACCATCATCCCAGACACCCTGGACCCACTCCAATTTGCATACCACCCCAACAGATCCACAGATGACGCAATCTCTATTGCACTCCACACTGCCCTTTCCCACCTGGACAAGAGGAACACCTACGTGAGAATGCTGTTAATTGACTACAGCTCAGCGTTCAACACCATAGTGCCCTCAAAGCTCATCACTAAGCTAAGGACCCTGGGACTGAACACCTCCCTCTGCAACTGGATCCTGGACTTCCTGACGGGCCGCCCCCAGGTGGAAAGGGTAGGCAACAACACATCTGCCACGCTGATCCTCAACACGGGGCCCCTCAGGGATGCGTGCTTAGTCCCCTCCTGTACTCCCTGTTCACCCACGACTGCATGGCCAGGCACGACTCCAACACCATCATTAAGTTTGCTGATGACACAACGGTGGTAGGCCTGATCACCAATGACAATGAGACAGCCTATAGGGAGCTCGTCAGAGACCTGGCAGTGTGGTACCAGGGAAACAACCTCCTCTCCCTCAACGTGAGCAAGACAAAGGAGCTGATCGTGAACTACATGAAAGTAAAGTTCCTGTGTCCACATCACTACACATACACATGCTAACACACACGTACACATGGATTTTGTATTGTATATCCACTACCGGTCAAAAGTTTAAGAAAACACCTACTCATTCAAGGGTTTTTCTTGATTTGTACTATTTTCTACATTGTAGAATAATAGTGAAGACATCAAAACTATGAAATAACACATATGGAATCATGTAGTAACCAAAAAAAAGTGTTAAATAAATCAAAATATATTTGAGATTCTTCAAAGTAGCCACCCTTTGCCTTGACAGCTTTGCACACTCTTGCCATTCTCTCAACCAGCTTCATGAGGTAGTCACATGGAATGGAAAATAGTACAAATACAGAAAAACCCTTGAATGAGTAGGTGTTCTAAAACTTTTGACCGGTAGTGTGTGTGGTGGTAGAGTAGTGGCCTGAGGGAACAATGTGTTGTGAAAAGCGTTATGAAATGTATTGTCATATACTGAACTAAAATATAAAACGCAACAATTTTCAAAGATTTACAGTTGATATAAGGAAATCAGTGAATTGAAATTAATGAGGCCGTAATCTATGGATTTCACATGACTGGGAATACAGATATGCATCTGTTGGTCACAGATACCATAAAAAAAAAAAAAAAAGTAGGGGCGTGGATCAGAAAACCAGTCAGTATCTGGTGTCACCATTTGCCTCATGCAGCGTGACACATCTCCTTCACATAGAGTTGATCAGGCTGTTGATTGTGGCCTGTGGAATGTTGTCCCACTCCTCTTCAATGGCTGTGTGAAGTTGCTGGATATTTACATTTAAGTCATTTAGCAGACACTTTTAAAACGACGTTCGAGGCGGCTTATGGTAGGAGAAATTAACATTAACTGTGTTGTGACAAAACTGCACATTTAGCACACTTTTATCCAAAACCACTTACAGTCATGCGTGCATACATTTTTGTGTATGGGTGGTCCCGGGGATCGAACCCACTACCTTGGCGTTACAAGCGCCGTGCTCTACCAGCTGAGCTACAGAGCTACAGAGCTATTGTCCCCAGCACAAGGTGCACCTGTGTAATGATCATGCTGTTTAATCAGCTTCTTGATATGCCACACCTGTCAGGTGGATGGATTATCTTGGCAAATGAGAAATGCTCACTAACAGGGATGCAAAAGAAAAGTTGAACAAAAATTGAGAAATATCGGACCACCACTTTACATGTTGCGTTTATATTTTTGTTCATTGTAATATTTTTGTTGTTGTATACAACTCCCTTAAATGTTAAATGGACCCCAGGAAGAGTATCTGCTGCCTTGGCAGGAACTAATGGGGATCCATAATAAACCCCAGGAAGAGTAGCTGCTGCCTTGGCAGGAACTAATGGGGATCCATAATAAACCCCAGGAAGAGTAGCTGCTGCCTTGGCAGGAACTAACGGGGATCCATAATAAACCCCAGGAAGAGTAGCTGCTGCCTTGGCAGGAACTAACAGGGATCCATAATAAACCCCAGGAAGAGTAGCTGCTGCCTTAGCAGGAACTAACGGGGATCCATAATAAACCCCAGGAAGAGTAGCTGCTGCCTTGGCAGGAACTAACAGGGATCCATAATAAACTCCAGGAAGAGTAGCTGCTGCCTTGGCAGGAACTAACGGGGATCCATAATAAACCCCAGGAAGAGTAGCTGCTGCCTTGGCAGGAACTAACAGGGATCCATAATAAACCCCAGGAAGAGTAGCTGCTGCCTTGGCAGGAACTAATGGGGATCCATAATAAACCCCAGGAAGAGTAGCTGCTGCCTTGGCAGGAACTAACGGGGATCCATAATAAACCCCAGGAAGAGTAGCTGCTGCCTTGGCAGGAACTAACGGGGATCCATAATAAACCCCAGGAAGAGTAGCTGCTGCCTTGGCAGGAACTAACGGGGATCCATAATAAACCCCATGAAGAGTAGCTGCTGCCTTGGCAGGAACTAATGGGGATCCATAATAAACCCTAGCCCAATGCCTCTTACCCCCCAGGATATTTGGCATGGGTCCTCAGATTCTCAAAAAGTTATCCAGCTGCATCACTAAGAGCATCCTGACTGGTTGCATCACCGCCTGGTATGGCAGTAGCTAGCGGGTAGCTACTGGTAACTTTTAGCAACTGTGGTTAGTTGTTTCCAATGTTATTTCACGCTTAAGAGTACCTGTAGTTGAGCCAGCTAGCTACCTACCATTCAGCTGTTTTTCTAACCTCATTATCCGAGGCATTAACGTTAGGTGGTTGGTAGCTGCTTGGCATCCGACTGTAAGGCGCTACAGAAGGTAGTGCGTACGGCCCAGTACATCACGTACGGCAAGCGGTACCGATGCACCAAGTCTGGAACCAACAGGACCCTGAACAGCTTCTACCCCCAAGCCATAAGACTGCTAAATAGTTTGTTAAATGGTTAACCAAACCAGAGCATGAGATAACCAGTCAGTCAGATAACCAGAGCATGAGATGGAGGGAGGGAGAGAGAGAGAGAAGGGCAGAGAGAAGGGACCATTGCACAATGCCAAGCGTCGGCTGGAGTGGTGTAAAGCTCACCGCCATTGGACTCTGGAGCACTGGAAACGCGTTCTCTGGAGTGATGAAACACGCTTCACCATCTGGCAGTCCGACCGACAAATCTGGGTTTGGCGGATGCCAGGAGAAAGCTACCTGCCCCAATGCATATTGCCAACTGTAAAGTTTGGTGGAGGAGGAATAATGGTCTGGGGCTGTTTTTCATGGTTCGGGCTAGGCCCCTTAGTTCCAGTGAAGGGAAATCTTAATGCTATAGCATAATATTACATTCTAGACGATTCTGTCCTTCCAACTTTGTGGCAACAGTTTGGGGAAGGCCCTTTCCTGTTTCAGCATGACAATGCCCCCGTGCACAAAGCGAGGTCCATACAGAAATGCTTGGTCGAGATCAGTGTGGAAGAACTTGACTGGCCTGCACAGAACCCTGACCTAAACCCCATCGAACACATTTGGGATGAATTGGAACGCCGACTGCGAGCCAGGCCTAATCGCCCAACATCAGTGACCAACCTCACTAATGCTCTTGTGGCTGAATGGAAGCAAGTCCCCGCAGCAATGTTTCCAACATCTAGTGGAAAGCCTTCCCAGAAGAGTGGAGGCTGTTATAGCAGCAAAGGGGGGGACCAACTCCATATTAATGCCCAGGATTTTGAAATGAGATGTTCAACGAGCAGGTGTCCACATACTTTTGGTCATGTAGTGTACCAACTAACCCCTGAATTCCCCAACACTGGACCAAGTCTCACAGCTGACTGGCTAAAGTACACAACTCACAGACATGCCATTTCATCACATATTCAACCAATACAACGTCTAAAGTAAATGTCTGTGTGTATCTTACCTTCCAAACACAGTGTGTTTCCTGTCCAGGTAGGGACACGAGCGGAAGGTGATGAAGCTGGGAGAGGAAACAGCAGACTCACATTAAAGTATAGTTCTATTCAGGAGTTGTACACGGTCATGTCATCTCAGCAGAACGTCCTATCTATCCCTAATCATATCAGGTCAATGCCTCGTCGGCTCCAGAGGGTCAAAGGGATGGGTCATCTTTAATGGAGGAATATTCAGATTCCCTATTCAACTCCACCAAGCTGCTGAGTGACATTACAACTCCTAGTTAGAATCACAGAGAGAGAGAGAGAGAGAGAGAGAGGGGGAGATGTTAGGGGGACAGAGGGGGGAGGTTAGGGGGAGAGAAGGAGGAGGTAGGAGGGGAAGTTAGGGGGAGGTAGGAGGGGAGGTTAGGGGGAGGTTAGGGGGGAGAGAGGGGGAGGTTAGGGGGGACAGAGGGGGGGAGGTTAGGGAGAGAGAGGAGGAGGGTAGGAGGGGAGGTTAGGGGGAGAGAGGGAGGAGTGAAGGGAGACAGAGGGGGAGGTTATATTTAAAGGGGGGAGAGAGGGGGAGGTTAGGGAGAGAGAGGGAGGAGGGGTAGGAGGGGAGGTTAGGGGGAGAGAGGGGGGGAGGTTAGGGGGAGAGAGGGAGGAGTTTAGGGGGAGAGAAGGGAGACAGAGGGGGAGGTTAGAGTGGTGGTTAGGGAGACAGAGGGGGGAGGTTATATTAAAGGGGGAGAGGGAGTAATGGAGTTAAGAGGGAGCATAAGACAATAGTATCACTTCCTCCTGAAGTGTACACTCGTTCACTAGTTCCAACACATTTAAAAGCATTAGATTGGTGGAAGCATGGGCTGGTGGTAGTTTCCACCATATTTCTGATACCAGTCATTTCCTTTCAAATCAGGGAAGGGAAGTGAACAAGTGCACACTTCAGAAGGAAGGAGGGATAATTGGGACATGAGACAGTGTCTACTCACAACTGGGACTTGTTGGTGTTGGGTCCTGAGTTGGCCATACTGAGAACCCCTCGCCCCGTGTGGGATAGGTTGGGACGAAACTCATCTTTGAAGGGCTTACCCCAGAAAGACTCTCCTCCTGAAGAGAGAGAGACAGGGAGAAAGGGAGAGAGCGAGAGAGAGGCAGACAGAGGGAGAGGGGGGGGCAGACAGAGAGAGAGAGAGGGGGGGCATACAGAGAGAGAGAGAGGGGCAGACAGAGAGAGAGAGGGGGCAGACCAGACAGAGAGAGAGAGGGGGCAGGACAAGGAGCGAGAGAGAGGGGGGCGACAGAGGGGGGAAGGACAGGAGAGAGAGAGGGTGGGGCAGACCAGGAGAGAGGAGAGGGGGGGGCAGGACAGAGAGAGGAGGGGGGGCATTACGAGAAGAGCAGAGGGGGGCAGACAGAGGAGAGAGGGGGGGCACAGAACAGAGGGAGAGCGCGGGGGACATAAGACGGGGAGAGGGGGGCCAGACAGAGGGAGGGAGCAGGGGCAGACAGCGAGAGAGGAGAGGGCAGACAGAGGGAGAGAGGGGCGCAGGACAGAGAGAGAGAGGGGGGGCAGACAGAGAGAGAGGGGGCAGAACAGAGGGGGCAGAGAGGAGGGGGGGGCAGACAGAGAGAGAGAGAGGGGGCAGACAGAGAGAGAGAGGGGGGGCAGACAGAGAGAGAGAGAGGGGGGCCAGACAGAGAGAGAGAGGGGGCATACAGAGAGAGAGGGGGCAGACAGAGAGAGAGAGGGGCAGACAGAGAGAGAGAGGGGGGCAGACAGAGAGAGAGAGGGGGGGGGCATACAGACGAGAGAGGGGGGCAGGACAGAGAGAAAAGGGGGGCACAGGACAGAGAGAGGGGGGGGCAGGACACAGGGGCAAGGAGAGAGGGAGGGCAGACCAGACAGAGGGAGAGAGGGGGCAGACAGAGAGAGAGAGGAGAGAGGGCAGACAGAGAGAGAGAGGGTGCAGACAGAGAGAGAGAGGGCAGGCAGACAGAGAGAGAGAGGGTGGCAGACAGAGAGAGAGAGAAGGGGCAGACCAGGGGAGAGAGAGAGGGGGCAGACAGAGAGAGAGAGGGCAGAAAGAGAGAAGAGGAGGGCCAGACAGAGAGAGAGAGGGGCAGACATATAGAAATGTGAGTTATGGATCTGTGATTCTCATTGAAAGCAGGTCTAAGAAGCGGCAGATCTGTTTCTATGCTTCCTGTTCTTAAGTTACATTTTTGAGTCTTTTACTTTCAGTTTTGTACACCAGCTTCAAACAGCTGAAAATATAATATGTTTGGTTATGAAATGATACACTATATATACACAGAAGTATGTGGACACCCCTTCAAATTAGTGGATTTGGCCATTTTAACCACACCCGTTGCTGACAGGTGTATAAAATCGAGCAAACTGCCATGCAATCTCCATAGACAAACACTGGCCTTACTGAAGAGCTCAGTGACTTTCAATGTGGCACAGTCATAGGATGCCACCTTTCCAACAAGTCAGTTCATCAAATTTCTGCCATGCTAGAGCTGCCTGGTCAACTTTAAGTGCTGTTATTATGAAGTTGAAATGTCTAGGAGCAACAACGGCTCAGCCGCGAAGTGGTAGGCCACACAAGCTCACAGAACGGGACCGCCGAGTGCTGAAGCATGTAGCGTGTAAGCATTATTGAAAAACGGACGTGCAGGAAAGCGAGCGGGCTCCGTTCGCTAGTCGAGTGCTGACTTTATTCTCCTGACCATGTGATAATGGGACATTCTAAATCTAAAACTAATTTGACATATTAGTAAAGATTAAATTGAGAATAGTCTGATGGTTGAAAATATGACCACTTGATGAGAGAACAGCGTGTGCAGCCTGAGGAAATGAACAGATTCTTTTTTTGCGACTTTCTCAAATCCTCAATAGGCTGTAGACGCATCATGCAGCCCAGATACAGTATGTTTGGATTTCTAGACGCATCATGCAGCCCATATACAGTATGTTTGGATTTCTAGACGCATCATGCAGCCCATATACAGTATGTTTGGATTTCTAGACGCATCATGCAGCCCAGATACAGTATGTTTGGATTTCTAGACGCATCATGCAGCCCATATACAGTATGTTTGGATTTCTAGACGCATCATTGCAAGCCCAGATACAGTATGTTTGGATTTCTAGACGCATCATGCAGCCCAGATACAGTATGTTTGGATTTCTAGACGCATCATGCAGCCCATATACAGTATGTTTGGATTTCTAGACGCATCATGCAGCCCAGATACAGTATGTTTGGATTTCTAGACGCATCATGCAGCCCATATACAGTATGTTTGGATTTCTAGACGCATCATGCAGCCCAGATACAGTATGTTTGGATTCTAGACGCATCATGCAGCCCCAGATACAGTATGTTTGGATTTCTAGACGCATCATGCAGCCCACATACAGTATGTTTGGATTTCTAGACGCATCATGCAGCCCATATACAGTATGTTTGGATTTCTAGACGCATCATGCAGCCCAGATACAGTATGTTTGGATTTCTAGACGCATCATGCAGCCCATATACAGTATGTTTGGATCATCAGCCCAGAACAGTAGTTGATTCTAGCGCATCATGCAGCCATATACGTATGTTTGGATTTCTAGACGCATCATGCAGCCCATACAGTATGTTTGGATTTCTAGACTGCATCATGCAGCCCATATACAGTATGTTTGGATTTCTAGACGCATCATGCAGCCCATATACAGTATGTTTGGATTCTAGACGCATCATGCCAGCCCAGATACAGTATGTTTGGATTTCTAGACGCATCATGCAGCCCATATACAGTATGTTTGGATTTCTAGACGCATCATGCAGCCCATATACAGTATGGTTTGGATTTCTAGACGCATCATGCAGCCCAGATACAGTATGTTTGGATTTCTAGACGCATCATGCAGCCCAGATACAGTTATGTTTGGATTTCTAGACGCATCATGCAGCCCAGATACAGTATGTTTGGATTTCTAGACGCATCATGCAGCCCATATACAGTACTGTTTGGATTTCTAGACGCATCATGCAGCCCAGATACAGTATGTTTGGATTTCTAGACGCATCATGCAGCCCATTTACAGTATGTTTGGATTTCTAGACGCATCATGCAGCCCAGATACAGTATGTTTGGATTTCTAGACGCATCATGCAGCCCATATACAGTATGTTTGGATTTCTAGACGCATCATGCAGCCCAGATACAGTATGTTTGGATTTCTAGACGCATCATGCAGCCCCTTTACAGTATGTTTGGATTTCTAGACGCATCATGCAGCCCATATACAGTATGTTTGGATTTCTAGACGCATCATGCAGCCCATTTACAGTATGTTTGGATTTCTAGACGCATCATGCAGCCCATATGCAGTATGTTTGGATTTCTAAGCCATTCTAAGGTTTGTACCATTTTAGAGTTGCCAAATACCTCTAAATCTCTGGTATAGGACCTGTTTCAAATGATCACCTTTACACTCAACATAGCCACTTCATATGCACACGCTCCAGAATGGGAAAAATATCCTTTATACTGTATTTTATTTAGCTAAGTTAGATTATAGTAATCTTACTATAAAATCACATAAAATAAAATAATTGTGCGGGATATATAAGCATTTCTTATCAGCTAAATGAACAAGCCTGGAGCATAGCCAGATAACATACAGTAGGCCAACTCATATTCTGTTCTTTTGAAATACATTTTCTTCATATCATTAATGTTTCTTTAGACCTGACAAATAACATTATACATCACAGTAGTCAATGGGTTTTACTCTCCACTACATCACAGTAGTCAATGGGTTTTACTCTCCACTACATCACAGTAGTCAGTGTTTTACTCTCCACTACATCACAGTAGTCAGTGTTTTACTCTCCACTACATCACAGTAGTCAATGTGTTTTACTCTCCACTACATCACAGTAGTCAAGGGGTTTTACTCTCCACTACATCACAGTAGTCAATGTGTTTTACTCTCCACTACATCACAGTAGTCAAGGGGTTTTACTCTCCACTACATCACAGTAGTCAGTGTTTTACTCTCCACTACATCACAGTAGTTAATGGGTTTTACTCTCCACTACATCACAGTAGTCAATGTGTTTTACTCTCCACTACATCACAGTAGTCAGTGTTTTACTCTCCACTACATCACAGTAGTCAGTGTTTTATTCTCCACTACATCACAGTAGTCAATGGGTTTTACTCTCCACTACATCACAGTAGTCAGTGTGTTTTACTCTCCACTACATCACAGTAGTCAGTGTTTTACTCTCCACTACATCACAGTAGTCAATGGGTTTTACTCTCCACTACATCACAGTAGTCAATGGGTTTTACTCTCCACTACATCACAGTAGTCAATGGGTTTTACTCTCCACTACATCACAGTAGTCAATGGGTTTTACTCTCCACTACATCACAGTAGTCAATGGGTTTTACTCTCCACTACATCACAGTAGTCAATGGGTTTTACTCTCCACTACATCACAGTAGTCAATGGGTTTTACTCTCCACTACATCACAGTAGTCAGTGTTTTACTCTCCACTACATCACAGTAGTCAGTGTTTTACTCTCCACTACATCACAGTAGTCGTGTTTTACTCTCCACTACATCACAGTAGTCAGTGTTTTACTCTCCACTACATCACAGTAGTCAATGGTTTTACTCTCCACTACATCAACAGTAGTCAGTGTGTTTTACTCTCCACTACATCACAGTAGTCAATGGGTTTTACTCTCCACTACATCACAGTAGTCAATGTGTTTTACTCTCCACTACATCACAGTAGTCAAGGGGTTTTACTCTCCACTACATCACAGTAGTCAGTGTTTTTACTCTCCCACTACATCACAGTAGTTAATGGGTTTTACTCTCCACTACATCACAGTAGTCAAGTGTTTTACTCTCCACTACATCACAGTAGTCAAGGGGTTTTACTCTCCACTACATCACAGTAGTCAGTGTTTTACTCTCCACTACATCACAGTAGTCAATGGGTTTTACTCTCCACTACATCACAGTAGTCAGTGTTTTACTCTCCACTACATCACAGTAGTCAATGGGTTTTACTCTCCACTACATCACAGTAGTCAATGTGTTTTACTCTCCACTACATCACAGTAGTCAGTGTTTTACTCTCCACTACATCACAGTAGTCAGTGTTTTACTCTCCACTACATCCACAGTAGTCAATGGGTTTACTCTCCACTACATCACAGTAGTCAGTGTGTTTTACTCTCCACTACATCACAGTAGTCAGTGTTTTACTCTCCACTACATCACAGTAGTCAATGGGTTTTACTCTCCACTACATCACTGTAGTCAGTGTTTTACTCTCCACTACATCACAGTAGTCAGTGTTTTACTCTCCACTACATCACAGTAGTCAGTGTTTTACTCTCCACTACATCACAGTAGTCAGTGTTTTACTCTCCACTACATCACAGTAGTCAGTGTTTTACTCTCCACTACATCACAGTAGTCAGTGTTTTACTCTCCACTACATCACAGTAGTCAGTGTTTTACTCTCCACTACATCACAGTAGTCAGTGTGTTTTACTCTCCACTACATCACAGTAGTCAGTGTTTTACTCTCCACTACATCACAGTAGTCAATGGGTTTTACTCTCCACTACACCACAGTAGTCAGTGTTTTACTCTCCACTACATCACAGTAGTCAGTGTTTTACTCTCCACTACATCACAGTAGTCAGTGTTTTACTCTCCACTACATCACAGTAGTCAGGGTTTTACTCTCCACTACATCACAGTAGTCAGGGTTTTACTCTCCACTACATTACAGTAGTCAGTGTTTTACTCTCCACTACTCTGAAATTGTAGGGTCTAAACTTACCTAAACCAGTCCCAGTTGGGTCTCCTCCTTGGATCTGAAAGACATTGGGAAAGAGATGTATTTACATACATTAATAGAACACTATCAATAACAATGGACTGTGTGGTTGTCGTGGTAACAGGAGGGGAGTCTAGTTAATTCCAGATAGGCGAGTCAGAGAATGAAGACGTAATGCGTTTAGTCTCACCATGAAGTTCCTGATAGATCTGTGGAAGACAGTTCCGTCATAGTAACCCTTCTTACACAGCTTGGTGAAGTTCTCTCCTGCTTTAGGAACCTGGGACAGGGAGGAGACGACCGTGGAAATACTGAGTTATTAGGAAGAACAATAGTGAGTTTATAAAAACACCTTCCTGTACAAGACAAAGTTAAAGACCTGTCCTGTGTCACTCCACACTACAGTGAGGGAAAAAAGTATTTGATCCCTTGCTGATTTTGTACGTTTGCCCACTGACAAAGACATGATCAGTCTATAATTTTAATGGTAGGTTTATTTGAACAGTGAGAGAGAATAACAACAAAATCCAGAAAAACGCATGTCAAAAATGTTAACCAGCATATTGGTGTTGAGAACAATGTGGCGGAGGTAGCAGCGGAGTTAAGAGAAAACAGAGAGGAGAGAGGAAACCCCAACTGAATTAGGTCTGTAATCAATAGCCTGACTGTTAAACGGGCCTGGCTTTACAAATCATCCATATACACAGTGCATTCGGAAAGTATTCAAACCCCTTCAGTTTTTCCACATTGTTACATTAAAAACGTATTCTAAAATTGATAAAATAAATGGTTTTTCCTCATCAATCTACACACAATACCCCATAAACAAGTTTTTAGAAAATGTATACCTTATTCACATACAGTACCAGTCAAAAGTTTGGACACACCTACTCATTCCAGGGTTTTTCTTGATTTTTACTATTTTCTACATTGTAGAATAATAGTGAAGACATCAAAACTATGAAAAATAACACATATGGAATCATGTAGTAACCAAAAAAAAGTGTTAAACAAATCAAAATATATTTGCGATTTTTCAAATAGCCACCCTTTGCCTTGACAGCTTCGCACACTCTTGGCATTCTCTCAACCAGCTTCATGGGGTAGTCACCTGGAATGCATTTCAATTAACAGGTGTGCCTTCTTAAAAGTTAATTTGTGGAATTTCTTTCCTCCTTAATGTGTTTGAGCCAATCAGTTGTGTTGTGACAAGGTAGGGGTGGTATACATTTGGTAAAAGACCTAGTCCATATTATGGCAAGAACAGCTCAAATAAGCAAAGGGAAATGACAGTTCATCATTACTTTAAGGCATGAAGGTCAGTCAATACGGAATATTTCAAGAACTTTGAAAGTTTCTTCAAGTGAAGTCGCAAAAACCATCAAGCGCTATGATGAAACTGGCTCTCACTGAGCTCGGCCAAACTGAACAATCGGGGGAGAAGGGCCTTGGTTAGGGAGGTGACCAAGAACCCAATGGTCAATCTGACAGAGCTCTAGAATTCCTCTGTGAAGATGTAAGAACCTTCCAGAAGGACAACCATCTCTGCAGCACTCCACCAATCAGGCCTTTATGGTAGAGTGGCCAGACGGAAGCCACTCCTCAGTAAAAGGCACATGACAGCCCGCTTGGACTTTACCAAAAGGCAACTAAAGGACTGTGACCACGGGAAACAAGATTCTCTGGTCTGATAAAACCAAGATTGAATATCTGGAGGAAACCTGGCACCATCCCTACGGTGAAGCATGGTGGTGGCAGCATCATGCTGTGGGGATGTTTTTCTGCGGCAGGGACTGATAGACTAGTCAGGATCGAGGGAAAGATGAACGGAGCAAAGTACAGAGAGATCCTTGATGAAAACCTGCTCCAAAGCACTCAGGACCTCAGACTGGGGTGAAGGATCACCTTCCAACAGGACAACGACCCTAAGCACACAGCCAAGACAATGCAGGAGTGGCTTCGGGACAAGTCTCTGAATATCCTTGAGAGGCCCAGCCAGAACCCGATCGAACATCTCTGGAGAGACCTGAAAATAGCAGTGCAGCGATGCTCCCCATCCAACCTGACAGAGCTTGAGAGGATCTGCAGAGAAGAATGGGAGAAACTCCCCAAATACAGGTGTGCCAAGCTTGTAGCGTCATACCCAAGAAGACTCGAGGCTGTAATCGCTGCCAAAGGTGCTTCAACAAAGTACTGAGTAAAGGGTCTGAATACTTATGTAAATAGTTTTATATATTTAATACATTCGCAAAATTTCACAAACACCGTTTTTGCTTTGCATTATGGGGTATTATGTGTAGATTGAAGAGGGGAAAAAACGATTTAATCCATTTTAGAATAAGGCTGTAACGTAACAAAAGGTGGAAATAGTCAGGGGTCTGAAAACTTTCAGAATTAACTGTATCTACATAAATAAGACAGATCCTGCTTCTGATGCCTGTTTGTTTAATAGCCTACTGATTCCATGAGCACCAAGCCTCAGTCGTGTGAGCGAGCGGTTAGCAGATGTCAACGTTGTGAACAGAGTGCTCCAGGGTGGTTGTAGGTTATGGTATGGGCAGGCATAAACTATGGACAACGAACACAATTGCATTTTATCTATGGCAATTTGAATGCACAGAGATACCGTGACGAGGTCCTGAGGCCCATTGTCGTGCCATTCATCCGCCACCATCACCTCATGTTTCAGCATGATAATGCACGGACCTGTACACAATTCCTGGAAGCTGAAAATGTCCCAGTTCTTCCATGGCCTGCATACTCACCAGACATGTCACCCATTGAGCATGTTTGGGATGCTCTGGATCGACGTGTACGACAGTGTGTTCCAGTTCTCGCCAATATCCAGCAACTTCGCACAGCCATTTGAAGAGGAGTGGTACAACATTCCACAGGCCACAATCAACAGCCTGATCAACTCTATGCGAAGGAGATGTGTCACGCTGTATGGTCACACCAGATACTGACTGGTTTTCTGATCCACGCCCCTACCTTTTTTTAAAGATACCACAGATATTGTATGACTTGAAATCCATAGATTAGGGCCTAATATTTCCTTATATGAACTAACTTAATAAAAATAAAAAATAAATTGTTGCTTTCATATTTTTGTTCAGTGTAAATACTGGTATTAACCCAATAGTATTACAATGTGCAGATAGAGGGGACAGATAGAGGGGGGGGGCAGATAGAGGGGGGGCAGATAGAGGGGGGGCAGATAGAGGGGGGGGGGCAGATAGAGGGGGGGGGCAGATAGAGGGGGGGGCAGATAGAGGGGGGGGGCAGATAGAGGGGGGGGGCAGATAGAGGGGGGGCAGATAGAGGGGGGGCAGAGAGATAGAGGGGGGCAGATAGAGGGGGGCAGATAGAGGGGGGCAGATAGAGGGGGGCAGAGAGAAAGAGAGAGGTCCGTTAGGATTCAAGGACGATAGTAACGCTACAAGTTTTAGACTACACCGAGTGGACAAATCATTAGGAACAGCTCTTTCCATGACAGACTGACCAGGTGAATCCAGGTGAAAGCTATGATCCCTTATTGATGTCACCTGTTAAATCCACTTCAATCAGTGTAGATGAAGGGGAGGAAACAGGTTAAATAACGATTTTTAAGCTTTGAGACGGATTGTGTATGTGTGCCATTCAGAGGGTGAATGGGCAAGACAATAGATTTCAGTGCCTTTGAACGAGGTATGGTAGTAGGTGCCAGGCGCACCGGTTTGTGTCAAGAACTGCAACACTGCTGGGTGTTTCCCTCTCAACAGTTTCCCGTGTGTATCAAGACCGGTCCACCACCCAAAGGACATCCAGCCAACTTGACACAGCAGTGGGAAGCATTGGAGTCAACTTGGGCCAGAATCCCTGTGGAACGCTTTCGACACCTTGTAGAGTCCATGACCTGAAGAATTGAGGCTTTGAGGGCAAAGCGGGGGCAGGGGAAAGTCAAGCCCACTATCCTGCCATTGCAAGAGCCATGCACTACCAACTGAACTACAAAGGGCCGTGCACACACACACACACACACACACACACCACACACACACACACACACACACACCACACACACACACCTTGTCACAGTACAGTTCCAGGTTGATGTCTCCCTTGTTGGTGTGGAGACGGACATAGCCTTTCTTCTTCACGTAGGTGTAGCGCACCGTGTCGTCTGCGATCGCATCTGCAACAACCGGTGAAAACATCAGTCTCATGTGGTTTCTCAAATGAGAGTTGCTGATGAGAGCCGTCCGCTGTGTGTCAAGGTAATGATCCTCCTACACTAGGTTGTCAGGATGTTCTCTGTGTTAGAGACCATACCTGCAGTTTTAAGACCTAACCGCAGTGTGAGCCAAACTGAGGTGTTTAGAGACACTACTGCTGTGTAGACAAACTCGTTTAAACCACTAACCTGCGGATAGACCACAACTGCAGTGTGTTAAGACATAACCGCAGTGTTAAAGACCACAACCTGGTGTATAGACCACAACCTGCGTGGTAAGACCACTAACGCTGTGTTAAGACATAACCTGCTGTGTTAAGACATAACCTGCATGTGTTAGACCACTAACCGCATGTGTAAGACCACAACGCGTTGTTAGACACTAACTGCAGGTTTATAGACACTAACCTGCTGTGTAAGACACACTGCAGTGTGTTATAGACACTACTGCAGTGGTTAAGACACTAACCTGCAGTGTGTTAAGACCACTACTGCGTGTGTTATAGACCACTAACTGCACGTGTGTTAAGACCACTAACTGCAGGGTGTTATAGACCACTAACCTGCAGTGTGTTATAGAGCCACTAACCTGCAGTGTGTATGAGACACTAACCTGCAGTGTGTTATAGACCACTAACCTGCATGTGGTTAAGAGACCACTAACCTGCACGTGTGTTAGAGACCACTAAACCTGCAGTGTGTTAGAGACACTAACCTGCCGTGTGTATAAGACCACTAACCTGCAGTGTGTAAGACCACTAACTGCCATGTGTTAGAAGGCATAACTGCAGTGTGTTATAGAGACCACTACACCTGCTGTGTTAAGAGACCACAACCTGCAGTGTGTTAAGACCACTAACCGCAGTGTGTTAAGACCCACTAACCTGCCGTTGTGTAAGAGACCACTAACCTGCACGTGTGTTATAGACCACTAACCTGCAGTTGTTATAGACCACACTAACTGCACGGTGTTATAGAACCACTAACCTGCAGTGTGTTTATAAGACACTAACCTGCGTGTGTTAGAGACCTAACCTGTCGTGTGTTATAGACCACTAACCTGCAGTGTGTTATGAGACCACTAACCTGCGTGTGTTAGAGACCACTAACCTGCAGTGTGTTATAGAGACCACTAACCTGCAGTGTTTATAGAGACCACTAACCTGCAGTGTGTTATAGACCACTAACCTGCAGTGTGTTTATAGGACCACTAACCTGCAGTGTGTTATAGAGACCACTAACCTGCAGTGTGTTATAGACCACTAACCTGCAGTGTGTTATAGACCACTAACCTGCAGTGTGTTATAGACCACTAACCTGCAGTGTGTTATAGACCACTAACCTGCAGTGTGTTATAGAGACCACTAACCTGCAGTGTGTTATAGAGACCACTAACCTGCAGTGTGTTATAGACCACTAACCTGCAGTGTGTTATAGACCACTAACCTGCAGTGTGTTATAGAGACCACTAACCTGCAGTGTGTTATAGACCACACTAACCTGCAGTGTGTTATAGACCACTAACCTGCAGTGTGTTATAGAGACCACTAACCTGCAGTGTGTTATAGACCACTAACCTGCAGTGTGTTAGAGACCACTAACCTGCAGTGTGTTATAGACCACTAACCTGCAGTGTGTTTAGAGACCACTAACCTGCAGTGTGTTATAGGACCACTAACCTGCAGTGTGTTATAGAGCCACTAACCTGCAGTGTGTTAGAGACCACTAACCTGCAGTGTGTTATAGACCACTAACCTGCAGTGTGTTAGAGACCACTAACCTGCAGTGTGTTAGAGACCACTAACCTGCAGTGTGTTATAGACCACTAACCTGCAGTGTGTTAGAGACCACTAACCTGCAGTGTGTTAGAGACCACTAACCTGCAGTGTGTTATAGACCACTAACCTGCAGTGTGTTATAGACCACTAACCTGCAGTGTGTTATAGACCACTAACCTGCAGTGTGTTATAGACCACTAACCTGCAGTGTGTTATAGACCACTAACCTGCAGTGTGTTATAGACCACTAACCTGCTCTGTGTTAGAGACCACTAACCTGCAGTGTGTTATAGACCACTAACCTGCAGTGTGTTATGAGACCACTAACCTGCAGTGTGTTAGAGACCTAACTACTGCAGTGTTTAGAGACCACTAACCTGCAGTGTGTTATAGAGACCACTAACCTGCAGTGTGTTTGATAGACCACTAACCTGCAGTGTGTTATAGACCACTAACCTGCAGTGTGTTATAGAGACCACTAACCTGCAGTGTGTTATAGACCACTAACCTGCAGTGTGTTAGAGACCACTAACCTGCAGTGTGTTATAGACCACTAACCTGCAGTGTGTTATAGACCACTAACCTGCAGTGTGTTATAGAGACCACTAACCTGCAGTGTGTTAGAGACCACTAACCTGCTCTGTGTTAGAGACCACTAACCTGCAGTGTGTTATAGAGACCACTAACCTGCAGTGTGTTATAGAGACCACTAACCTGCAGTGTGTTATAGACCACTAACCTGCAGTGTGTTATAGAGACCACTAACCTGCAGTGTGTTATAGAGACCACTAACCTGCAGTGTGTTATAGACCACTAACCTGCAGTGTGTTAGAGACCACTAACCTGCAGTGTGTTATAGAGACCACTAACCTGCAGTGTGTTATAGACCACTAACCTGCAGTGTGTTATAGAGACCACTAACCTGCAGTGTGTTATAGAGACCACTAACCTGCTCTGTGTTATAGACCACTAACCTGCAGTGTGTTATAGAGACCACTAACCTGCAGTGTGTTAAGACCCTACCAGGTGTAAGACCACTAACCTGCAGTAGCCTGGTGTATAGACCACTAACCTGCAGTGTGTTAAGAGACCACTAACCTGCAGTGTGTTATAGACCACTAACCTGCAGTGTGTTATAGACCACTAACCTGCAGTGTGTTATAGAACCACTAACCCTGCAGTGTGTTATAGACCACTAACCTGCAGTGTGTTATAGACCACTAACCTGCATGTGTGTTAGAGACCACTAACCTGCAGGGTGTTATAGAGACCACTAACCTGCAGTGTGTTTATAGACCACTAACCTGCAGTGTGTTATAGACCACTAACCTGCAGTGTGTTATACGACCACTAACCTGCAGTGTGTTATAGACCACTAACCTGCAGTGTGTTTAGAGACCCTACATGCAGGTGTGTTATCTAGACACAACTGCAGTGTGTTATAGACCACTAACCTGCAGTGTGTTTATAGAGACCACTAACCTGCAGTGTGTTATAGACCACTAACCTGCAGTGTGTTATAGAGACCACTAACCTGCAGTGTGTTATAGACCACTAACCTGCAGTGTGTTATAGAGACCACTAACCTGCAGTGTGTTATAGAGACCACTAACCTGCAGTGTGTTATAGACACTAACCTGCAGTGTGTTATAGAGACCACTAACCTGCAGTGGTGTTTATAGAGACCACTAACCTGCAGTGTGTTATAGACCACTAACCTGCAGTGTGTTTATAGGACCACTAACCTGCAGTGTGTTAGAGACCACTAACCTGCAGTGTGTTATAGAGACCACTAACCTGCAGTGTGTTATAGACCACTAACCTGCAGTGTGTTAGAGACCACTAACCTGCAGTGTGTTATAGACCACTAACCTGCAGTGTGTTATAGAGACCACTAACCTGCAGTGTGTTATAGACCACTAACCTGCAGTGTGTTATAGAGACCACTAACCTGCAGTGTGTTATAGACCACTAACCTGCAGTGTGTTAGAGACCACAACCTGCAGTTGTATGACACTAACCGCAGTGTTAAGACCAACCTGCAGTGTGTTAGAGACCACTAACCTGCAGTGTGTTAGTAGAGACCACTAACCTGCATGTGTTAGAGACCACTAACCTGCAGTGTGTTATAGAGACCACTAACCTGCAGTGTTAAGACCATAACCGCTGTGTAGACCACTACCTGCAGTGTGTTATAGACCACTAACCTGCAGTGTGTTATAGACCACTAACCTGCAGTGTGTTATAGACCACTAACCTGCAGTGTGTTATAGAGACCACTAACCTGCAGTGTGTTAGCCTAGCAGGTGGTTGCCATTGCTGTGGAGAGTGAAGGAAGCAGGTTAAGACTCTGCCTGCAGGTGTAGAGCACTACTGGGTGTAGAGACCAACCGAGGGAGAGACACACCGGTTGTATAGAACCACTACCGCACTGTAAACCACTAACCCCTAGATACTCTGACTGCAGTAGTGAGACACTACGTGAGGGAGGGAGTGAGAGACCAACGGTGTGTTAGCCCTAGACACTCAGTTTATACACTAACCCTTTAAAGAACTACTGCATTGTTAGAGTCAGTGGCCTAGGGGACCCTGGAGCGCAGTGGAGAGACAACGCAGTGTTTAGTACCTATAACTGCATTAAAACACTAACCCTAGTTTCTAGACACTGTAGAGTAGTGTGGCAACCTAGGGGAGGAGCCCTACTGCAGGGTTAGAGACAACCCGCGTTAGTACCCTATGCACTGTCCCTTAGACACACTTAACCCTTGTAGACACTAACTGCTGTAGAGTAGTGAGCACTACGGGGAGGAGACCACGCGGGTAGAGAGAACTACGCGTGGTTACAGACCACTAACCTCACGTTTAAACCATAACCGCTGTGTTATAGACCACTAACTGCAGTGTGTTAGAGCCACTACCTGCGTGGTTAGAGGGACCGACTAACCTGACAGGTGTTATAGACCACTAACACTGCCAGGTGTCATAGCCAGTGGTCATTGCCCTGTGAGTGAAGAAGCAGATACTCTGCCTGTAGAGTAGTGGGCCTAGGGGAGGAGGGAGGAGAGAGAACGGTTAGTACCCTAGACACTTCCACTCTACACACTTAACCCCTAGATACTCTGCCTGTAGAGTAGTGGGCCTAGGGGAGGGAGGGAGGGAGAGAACGGTTAGTACCCTAGACACTTCCACTCTACACACTTAACCCCTAGATACTCTGCCTGTAGAGTAGTGAGCCTAGGGGAGGGAGGAGGAGAAGAGAGGAGAGAACGGTTTTAGTACCCTAGACACTTCCACTCTACAACACTTAACCCCTAGATACTCTGCCTGTAGAGTAGTGGGCCTAGGGGAGGGAGGGAGGGAGAGAACGGTTAGTACCCTAGACACTTCCACTCTACACACTTAACCCCTAGATACTCTGCCTGTAGAGTAGTGAGCCTAGGGGAGGGAGGGAGAGAGAGAGAGGCGAGTCATTGGTCCTGTCTTAGAAAGCTAGCCTTAAGACACTTAACAGCTAGGCCCCAGCCCTATAGCTAGACAGGGCCTCGACGGCTCCACCTAACCCACACTCCTGTTTCCCGGAAGTAGGAAACGGCAGGACGGTGGGAACGTCGCCTAGGCTGGGCAGTGACCTCTTGGAACGTCAACAACTCCCAGACAGATTAACGTTACGTAAAAGAAGGGGGTCTAATTTGAATCATGGTGACTCCCTTCACACCAACATCTTGCAGCCCAGCCACCAACTAGTCCTATCAAAGAGCGAGAGAGAGAGCGAGAGATGGTCAGCAGAGGAGAGAGAGATGGTCAGCAGAGAGAGAGGCGAGAGATGGTCAGCAGAGAGAGAGCGAGAGATGGTCAGCAGGAGAGAGAGAGAGAGAGAGAGAGAGATGGTCAGCAGAGAGAGAGAGAGAGTCAGCAGAGAGAGAGAGAGAGATGGTCAGCAGAGAGAGAGGAGAGAGAGAGATGGTCAGCAGAGAGAGAGATGATCAGTAAACAGTATATTTGACCTCTCAGCTTCCCTATGATATCTAAAAACCTCTTAACAGAAAACCAAAGAAAAGTAACAATGACAAATGGTTTGATGAAGAATGCAAAAACCTAAGACAGAAATTGAGAAACCTATCCAACCAAAAACATAGACCCCTAGAAAACCTGAGCCTACGCCTTCACTATGGTGAATCACTAAAACAATACAGAAATACACTACGGAAAAAGAAGGAACAGCACGTCAGAAATCAGCTCAATGTAATTGAAGAATCCATAGAATCAAATCACTTCTGGGAAAATTGGAAAACACCAAACAAACAATAACATGAAGAGTTATCTATCCAAAACAGAGATGTATGGGTAAACCACTTCTTCAATCTTTCTGGCTCTATAACAAAGAACAAACAGCAAAAACATATACATGATCAATTACAAATCTTAGGATCAACTATTAAAGACTACCAGAACCCACTGGATTCTCCAATTACATTGAATGAACTACAGGATAAAATACAAACCCTCCAACCCAAAAAGTCCTGTGGTGTTGATGGTATCCTCAACAAAATGATCAAATTTACAGACCACAAATTCCAATTGGCTATACTTAAACTCTTTAACATCATCCTTAGCTCTGGCATCTTCCCCAATATTTGGAACCAAGGACTAATAACCCCAATCCACAGAAGTGGAGACAAATTTGACCCCAATAACTACTGTGGGATATGCGTCAACAGCAACCTTGGGAAAATCCTCTTCATTATCATTAACAGCAGACTAGTTCATTTCATCAGTAAAACAATGCACTGAGCAAATGTCAAATTGGCTTTATACCAAATTACCGTACGACAGACCACGTATTCTACTGTTCGCTGATGATCTGGTGCTTCTGTCACCAACCAAGGAGGGCCTACAGCAGCACCTAGATCTTCTGCACAGATTCTGTCAGACCTGGGCCCTGACAGTAAATCTCAGTAAGACAAAAATAATGGTGTTCCAAAAAAGGTCCAGTTGCCAGGACCACAAATACAAATTCCATCTAGACACCGTTGCCCTAGATTACACAAAAAACTATACATACCTCGGCCTAAATATCAGCGCCACAGGTAACTTCCACAAAGCTGTGAACGATCTGAGAGACAAGGCAAGAAGGGCCTTCTATGCCATCAAATGGAACATAACATTTGACATACCAATTAGGATCTGGCTAAAAATACTTGAATCAGTTATAGAACCCATTGCCCTTTATGGTTCTGAGGTCTGGGGTCCGCTCACCAACCAAGAATTCACAAAATGGGACAAACACCAAATTGAGACTCTGCATGCAGAATTCTGCAAAAATATCCTCTGTGTACAACGAAAAACACCAAATAATGCATGCAGAGCAGAATTAGGCCGATACCCACTAATCATCAAAATCCAGAAAAGAGCTGTTAAATTCTATAACCACTTAAAACGAAGCGATTCCCAAACCTTCCATAACAAAGCCATCACCTACAGAGAGATGAACTTGGAGAAGAGTCCCCTAAGTAAGCTTGTCCTGGGGCTCTGTTCACAAACACAAACAGACCACACAGAGCCCCAGAACAGCAACACAATTAGACCCAACCAAATCATGAGAAAACAAAAAGAGAATTACTTGACACATTGGAAAGAATTAACAAAAAAACTGAGCAAACTAGAATGCTATTTGGCCCTAAACAGAGAGTACACAGTGGCAGAATACCTGACCACTGTGACTGACCCAAACTTAAGGAAAGCTTTGACTATATACAGACTCAGTGAGCATAGCCTTACTATTGAGAAAGGCCGCCGTAGGCAGACCTGGCTCTCAAGAGAAGACGGGCTATGTGCCCACTGCCCACAAAATGAGATGGAAACTGAGCTGCACTTCCTAAACTCCTGCCAAATGTATGACCACATTAGAGACACATATTTCCCTCCGATTACACAGATCCACAAAGAATTAGAAAACAAACCCAATTTAAACTCGGTGTGCCATCACAGCAGCAAGATTTGTGATCTGTTGCCACAAGAAAAGGACAACCAGTGAAGAACAAACACCATTGTAAATACAACCCATATTTATGTTTATTTATTTTCCAATTTGTACTTTAACAATTTGCACATCATTACACCACTGTATATATACATAATATGACATTTGAAATGTCTTTATTCTTTTGGAACTTCTGAGTGTAATGTTTACTGTTAATATTTATTTCACTATCTACTTCACTTGCTTTGGCAATGTTAACATACGTTTCCCATGACAATAAAGACCTTACATTGAAATTGAATTGAGAGAGAGCGCGAGAGATGGTCAGCAGAGAGAGAGAGAGTGACCATTACAATGCCCTCAAATGCCAAGAGGTGACCATAGAGAAGAGTCCCCTCAGCCAGCTGGTTCTGAGGCTCAGTTCACTAACCCAAACCAACCCAACAAAGCCTCAGGACCACCAACCAAAATCATCACAAAAGCAAAAAGAAATATATATCACCTATTGGAAAGACACCACAAAATCAAAGTAAACTTCAATGCTATGTCTCTAAACAGACAGTACATTGTGGCAGACTATCTGACCACTGTGACTGATAGAAAACTGAGGAAAACACTGACTAGGTACAGACTCAGTGAACACAGTCTGGCTATAGAGACCGGTCATCACAGACAGATCTGACTACCCAGAGAGGACAGGCTGTACTCACTCGGTCCTCAGAAAGGTAGAGACAGAGCTGCATTTCCTATTATACTGTGACAAATACTCAGAATATTTATTTGCCCAAATTATCATCCAGTACAAACAATTTGAAACCATAAAAGATTAAGAAAAAAATATACAGTGGGGAGAACAAGTATTTGATAGACTGCCGATTTTGCAGGTTTTCCTACTTACAAAGCATGTAGAGGTCTGTAATTTTTATCATAGGTACACTTCAACTGTGAGAGACGGAATCTAAAACAAAAATTCAGAAAATCACATTGTATGATTTTTAAGTAATTAATTTGCATTTTATTGCATGATATAAGTATTTGATCACCTACCAACCAGTAAGAATTCCAGCTCTCACAGACCTGTTAGTTTTTCTTTAAGAAGCCCTCCTGTTCTCCACTCATTACCTGTATTAACTGCACCTGTTTGAACTCGTTACCTGTATAAAAAGACACCTGTCCACACACTCAATCAAACAGACTCCAACCTCTCCACAATGGCCAAGACCAGAGAGCTGTGTAAGGACATCAGGGATAAAATTGTAGACCTGCACAAGGCTGGGATGGGCTACAGGACAATAGACAAGCAGCTTGGTGAGAATGCAACAACTGTTGGCGCAATTATTAGAAAATTGAAGAAGTTCAAGATGACGGTCAATCGACTCGGTCTGGGGCTCCATGCAAGATCTCACCTTGTGGGGCATCAATGATCATGAGGAAGGTGAGGGATCAGCCCAGAACTACACAGCAGGACCTGGTCAATGACCTGAAGAGAGCTGGGACCACAGTCTCCAAAGAAAACCATTAGTAACACACTACGCCGTCATGGATTAAAATCCTGCAGCACACGCAAGGTCCCCCTGCTCAAGCCAGCGCATGTCCAGGCCCGTCTGAAGTTTGCCAATGACCATCTGGATGATCCAGAGGAGGAATGGGAGAAGGTCATGTGGTCTGATGAGACAAAAATAGAGCTTTTTGGTCTAAACTCCACTCGCCGTGTTTGGAGGAAGAAGAAGGATGAGTACAACCCCAAGAACACCATCCCAACCGTGAAGCATGGAGGTGGAAACATCATTCTTTGGGGATGCTTTTCTGCAAAGGGGACAGGACGACTGCACCGTATTGAGGGGAGGATGGATGGGGCCATGTATCGCGAGATCTTGGCCAACAACCTCCTTCCCTCAGTAAGAGCATTGAAGATGGGTCGTGGCTGGGTCTTCCAGCATGACAACGACCCGAAACACACAGCCAGGGCAACTAAGGAGTGGCTCCGTAAGAAGCATCTCAAGGTCCTGGAGTGGCCTAGCCAGTCTCCAGACCTGAACCCAATAGAAAATCTTTGGAGGGAGCTGAAAGTCCGTATTGCCCAGCGACAGCCCCGAAACCTGAAGGATCTGGAGAAGGTCTGTATGGAGGAGTGGGCCAAAATCCCTGCTGAAGTGTGTGCAAACCTGGTCAAGACCTACAGGAAACGTATGATCTCTGTAATTGCAAACAAAGGTTTCTGTACCAAATATTAAGTTCTGCTTTTCAATGTATCAAATACTTATGTCATGCAATAAAATGCTAATTAATTACTTAAAAATCATACAATGTTTTAGATTCCGTCTCTCACAGTTGAAGTGTACCTATGATAAAAAGTACAGACCTCTACATGCTTTGTAAGTAGGAAAACCTGCAAAATCGGCAGTGTATCAAATACTTGTCTCCCCACTGTATATATATATATATTGGGTGAAAAGCCAAAATGTGCAGCCAAATATGTGTCCTCCTGCCACAACCCGAGGGACAGCCAGTGAAAAGTGTAATGTAATGTCAATAATATTTTCCCATTTAGTTTTGGCTTTCATACCATGTCATGTGTCTTCAGTCATGTTGAGACTGACCTACTACTATTATTATTATTATTACCACCATTAATACTGTTGTTGTAGTTCCATTTCCACTACTACTATTATTATTATTGCTGCTTTATTGCTGCTATGACAATGGAAGTCATTTAACTGGCCATGTCAATAAAGTATACTAGAGAGAGAGAGAGAGAGACAGAGAGACAGAGAGAGACAGACAGACAGAGAGAGAGTCAGAGACAGACAGAGAGAGAGTCAGAGAGAGAGTCAGAGAGAGAGTCAGAGACAGAGAGAGAGTCAGAGAGAGAGTCAGAGAGAGAGTCAGAGAGAGAGTCAGAGAGAGAGTCAGAGAGAGAGTCAGAGAGAGAGTCAGAGAGAGAGTCAGAGAGAGACAGAGAGAGAGTCAGAGAGAGAGTCAGAGAGAGAGTCAGAGAGAGTCAGACAGACAGAGTCAGAAAGGTGTGCGTGTCCTCACCGCGTTAAATTTGTCAGTCTTTTTGGCCTGTGGTTCCTTCATGGTAGAGGCCAGTAGAGCATCTCCTTTATAACCCTTATAGAGCTCAGCCAGGGTCTCTCTGGTCTCCAGGTTAGTACTGTTCAGGTGGTAGCCAGGGTCCAGCTTAGCCTTCTCCTCATCTACACACAGACACACATAAAAAGGATTGTAGTTTAGGAAAATGACTTTCTCCTCATCTCCATTTAAAACCAGGAGATCCAGAAAGGTCCATACGTCAAACACCCTAAGTCCCAAATGGCACCCTATTCCCTATATAGTGCACTACTTTAGACCAGAGAATGGCACCCTATTCCCTATATAGTGCACTACTTTAGACCAGAGAATGGCACCCTATTCCCTATATAGTGCACTACTTTAGACCAGAGAATGGCACCCTATTCCCTATATAGTGCACTACTTTAGACCAGAGAATGGCACCCTATTCCCTATATAGTGCACTACTTTAGACCAGAGAATGGCACCCTATTCCCTATATAGTGCACTACTTTAGACCAGAGAATGGCACCCTATTCCCTATATAGTGCACTACTTTAGACCAGAGAATGGCACCCTATTCCCTATATAGTGCACTACTTTAGACCAGAGAATGGCACCCTATTCCCTATATAGTGCACTACTTTAGACCAGAGAATGGCACCCTATTCCCTATATAGTGCACTACTTAGAAAGAGAATGCACTACGTTAGACCAGAGAATGGCAACCCTATTCCCTATATAGTGCACTACTTAGACCAGAGAATGGCACCCTATCCCTATATAGTGCACTACTTTAGACCAGAGACTGGCACCCTATGCCCTATGTAGTGGACTACTTTTAGACCAGAGAATGGCAACCTATTCCCTAATAGTGCACTTACTTTAGACCAGAGAATGGCCACCCTATTCCCTATATAGTGCACTACTTTAGACCAGAGAATGGCAACCACTATTCCCTATATAGTGCACTACTTAGACCAGAGAATGGGCACCCTATTCCCTATATAGAGCACTACTTTAGACCAGAGAATGGCACCCTGTTCCCTATATAGTGCACTACTTTAGACCAGAGAATGGTACCCTATTCCCTATATAGTGCACTACTTTAGACCAGAGGCCTATGGTTTACTACATACAGAATAGTTTACCATTTGGGACTCAGCCCCATCAGTTACCCACCAGGGTCCAGTACTTTGAGGTTGTTCTTGACGTGGAAGAAGTCCGAGACATTGAATTTATCCAGGTTGGTAGGGTCCTGTCGCGAAGAAACAAACACCAGAGAACGCTAAGGACTCAGGACTACATTTACAATCTGAATAGTACAGAAAGAAAACTACATTTCCCACGATGCTTAGCGGGCTTCAGAACATAAGACACATTGAACATCAGTAAACATCTCCTGTACTCTATATACAACACCTGCAGGGTGATGAGGTCCTGTCTGGTGAATGGTTCATCAGACAGCAGGTCTCTGTAACTCTTAGTCTTGATGTTGAGCTGCTCCACAGCCTGAGAAAAATACACTTAGACACAATGTGTGTAATAATAATATTATATAATAATAATAATCTGGTGGGTGCTTATATTTGTCCTATTTCACACAAGTGTGTATTCATACGGATGTGTGAATTGGAAATGTGTATCTTTGCATATCCCAACTCCCCTTGAGACACCGTCAGAGAGTGGGGTCACGGCCAGGGTCAGCCATTAACAACAGCGAACCTGGAGCAGTTAGGGCTAAGAGCCTTGCTCTAGGGCAAAGCGGCAGATTTTAAATCTTGTTGGTTCGATATAGAGACCTTTCGGTGACTGGCCCAACGCCCTAACCACTAGGCTACCTGCCGCCCTGGTGTGTGTGTGTGTGTGTGTGTGTGTGTGTGTGTGTGTGTGTGGTGTGTGTGTGTGTGTGTGTGTGTGTGTGTGTGTGTGTGTGTGTGTGTTGTGTGTGTGTGTGTGTGTGTGTGTGTGGTGTGTGTGTGTGTGTGTGTGTGTGTGTGTGTGTGGAATAAAAACAAGTTGTACCTGTTGTAGTGTGTAAAGCTGTGTGTCCGTGAGTTGTGGTGTAGCTGTCATGGATTGTTGTGAGTGTGTAGTGTGGACGTGATAGTGTAGCTGTGCCATGAATGGTCCGTAGGTGTGTGTTGTTGGTGGTTCGTAGTGTAGTGTGTGTTGGTCCAGTGATGGTGTCCGTAGTGGTGTAGGTAGTTGTGTGTGATGGTGTGTAGTTAGTTGTGTCTGTCCTACGATGATGGTTCTGTTAGTTAGTAATCTGTCCTAGATGATGGTTCGTATGGTAGTTTTAGTAGTCGTGTCTACGATGATGGTTCTGTAGTAGTTATGTAGTCTGTCTAGATGATGGTTCCTGTAGTTAGTTAGTAGTCTGTCCTACGATGATGGTTCCGTAGTAGTTAGTAGTCTGTCCTACGATGATGGTTCTGTAGTAGTTAGTATTGCCTAGTTGTTCCGTAGTTAGTGTATTTGGTTCGATATGTTCTAGTTAGTTAGTAGTCTGTCCTACGATGATGGTTCGTAGTTAGTTAGTAGTCTGTCCTACGATGATGGTTCTGTAGTTAGTTAGTAGTCTGTCCTACGATGATGGTTCTGTAGTTAGTTAGTAGTCTGTCCTACGATGATGGTTCCGTAGTTTAGTTAGTAGTCTGTCCCTACGATGATGGTTCTGTGTAGGTTATGTAGTCTGTACCTACGATGATGGTTATCCGTAGTTAGTTAGTAATCTGTCTACGATGATGGTTCTGTAGTTAGTTAGGTCGTCTTGTCCTACGATGATGTGTCCGTAGTTTAGTTAGTAATCTGTCCTATCCTACGATGATGGTTCTGTAGTTAGTTTAGTAGTCTGTGCCTACGATGATGGTTCTGTAGTTAGTTAGTAGTCTGTCCTACGATTGATTGGTTCCTGTAGTTAGTTAGTAAATCTTCCCTACGATGATGGTTTCCGTATGTTGAGTTGAGTAGTCCTGTCCTACGATGATTGGTTCCGTAGGTTAGGTATAGTCCTGTCCTACGATGATGGTTCCGTAGTAGTTATGTAGTCTGTCTACTATGTGGTTCTGTTAGTTAGTAGTAGTCTCCTATGATGATGGTTCTGTAGTTAGTTAGTAGTCGTCCCTACAAATGATGGTTCTGTAGTTAGTTAGTAGTCTGTCCTACGATGATGGTTTTCTGTAGTTAGTTAGTAAGTCTGTCCTACGATGATGGGTTCCGTCGTTAGTTAGTTCTGTCCTACGATGATGGTTCTGGTAGTTAGGTTAGTAGATCGTCCATACGATGATGGTTCTGTAGTTATGTTTAGTAGTCTGTCCTACGATGATGGTTCTGTAGTTAGTTAGTAGTCTGTCCTACGATGATGGTTCCGTAGTTAGTTAGTAGTCTGTCCTACGATGATGGTTCTGTAGTTAGTTAGTAGTCTGTCCTACGATGATGGTTCTGTAGTTAGTTAGTAGTCTGTCCTACGATGATGGTTCTGTAGTTAGTTAGTAGTCTGTCCTACGATGATGGTTCTGTAGTTAGTTAGTAGTCTGTCCCTACGATGATGGTTCTGTAGTTAGTTAGTAGTCTGTCCTACGATGATGGTTCTGTAGTTAGTTAGTAGTCTGTCCTACGATGATGGTTCTGTAGTTAGTTAGTAGTCTGTCCTACGATGATGGTTCTGTAGTTAGTTAGTAGTCTGTCCTACGATGATGGTTCCGTAGTTAGTTAGTAGTCTGTCCTACGATGATGGTTCTGTAGTTAGTTTAGTAGTCTGTCCTACGATGATGGTTTCTGTAGTTAGTTAGTAGTCTGTCCTACGATGATGGTTCTGTAGTTAGTTAGTAGTCTGTCCTACGATGATGGTTCTGTAGTTAGTTAGTAGTCTGTCCTACGATGATGGTTCGTAGTTAGTTAGTAGTCTGTCCTACGATTAGTTAGTAGTCTGTCCTACGATGATGGTTCTGTAGTTAGTTAGTAGTCTGTCCTACGATGATGGTTCTGTAGTTAGTTAGTATCTGTCCTACGATGATGGTTCCGTAGTTAGTTAGTAGTCTGTCCTACGATGATGGTTCGTATTTTAGTAGTCTGTCCTACGATGATGGTTCTGTAGTTAGGTTTGTAGATGTTAGTCTCGTCCTACGATGATGGTTCTGTAGTTAGTTAGTAGTCTGTCCTACGATGATGGTTCCGTAGTTAGTTAGTAGTCTGTCCTACGATGATGGTTCGTTTGTAGTGTCCTAGTGATGGTTCGTAGTTAGTAGTCTGTCCTACGATGATGGTTCTGTAGTTAGTTAGTAGTCTGTCCTACATGATGGTTCCGTAGTTAGTATTTTAGAGTTATTTTGTCTCCTACGATGATGGTTCTGTAGTTAGTTAGTAGTCTGTCCTACGATGATGGTTCTGTAGTTAGTTAGTAGTCTGTCCTACGATGATGGTTCCGTAGTTAGTTAGTAGTCTGTCCTACGATGATGGTTCCGTAGTTAGTTAGTAGTCTGTCCTACGATGATGGTTCTGTAGTTAGTTAGTAGTCTGTCCTACGATGATGGTTCCGTAGTTAGTTAGTAGTCTGTCCTACATGATGGTTCTGTAGTTAGTTAGTAGTCTGTCCTACGATGATGGTTCTGTAGTTAGTTAGTAGTCTGTCCTACGATGATGGTTCTGTAGTTAGTTAGTAGTCTGTCCTACGATGATGGTTCCGTAGTTAGTTAGTAGTCTGTCCTACGATGATGGTTCCGTAGTTAGTTAGTAGTCTGTCCTACGATGATGGTTCGTAGTAGGTTGTCTGATAGTTCTGTATCCTACGATGATGGTTCGTAGTTAGTTAGTAGTCTTCCTACGATGATGGTTCTGTAGTTAGTTAGTAGTCTGTCCTACGATGATGGTTCTGTAGTTAGTTAGTAGTCTGTCCTACGATGATGGTTCGTAGTTAGTTAGTAGTCTGTCCTACGATGATGGTTCCGTAGTTAGTTAGTAGTCTGTCCTACGATGATGGTTCGTAGTTAGTTAGTAGTCTGTCCTACGATGATGTTCAGTAGTTGTAGTCTGTCCTACGATGATGGTTCCGTAGTTAGTAGTCTGTCCTACGATGATGGTTCTGTAGTTAGTTAGTAGTCTGTCCTACGATGATGGTTCTGTAGTTAGTTAGTAGTCTGTCCTACGATGATGGTTCTGTAGTTAGTTAGTAGTCTGTCCTACGATGATGGTTCTGTAGTTAGTTAGTAGTCTGTCCTACGATGATGGTTCTGTAGTTAGTAGTCTGTCCTACGATGATGGTTCCGTAGTTAGTAGTCTGTCCTACGATGATGGTTCCGTAGTTAGTTAGTAGTCTGTCCTACGATGATGGTTCTGTAGTTAGTTAGTAGTCTGTCCTACGATGATGGTTCTGTAGTTAGTTAGTAGTCTGTCCTACGATGATGGTTCCGTAGTTAGTTAGTAGTCTGTCCTACGATGATGGTTCTGTAGTTAGTAATCTGTCCTACGATGATGGTTCCGTAGTTAGTTAGTAATCTGTCCTACCATGATGGTTCCGTAGTTAGTTAGTAGTCTGTCCTACGATGATGGTTCTGTAGTTAGTTAGTAGTCTGTCCTACGATGATGGTTCCGTAGTTAGTTAGTAGTCTGTCCTACCATGATGGTTCCGTAGTTAGTTAGTAATCTGTCCTACCATGATGGTTCCGTAGTTAGTTAGTAGTCTGTCCTACGATGATGGTTCTGTAGTTAGTTAGTAGTCTGTCCTACGATGATGGTTCTGTAGTTAGTTAGTAGTCTGTCCTACGATGATGGTTCTGTAGTTAGTTAGTAGTCTGTCCTACGATGATGGTTCCGTAGTTAGTTAGTAGTCTGTCCTACGATGATGGTTCCGTAGTTAGTTAGTAGTCTGTCCTACGATGATGGTTCTGTAGTTAGTTAGTAGTCTGTCCTACGATGATGGTTCCGTAGTTAGTTAGTAGTCTGTCCTACGATGATGGTTTTGTAGTTAGTTAGTAGTCTGTCCTACGATGATGGTTCTGTAGTTAGTTAGTAGTCTGTCCTACGATGATGGTTCCGTAGTTAGTTAGTAGTCTGTCCTACGATGATGGTTCCGTAGTTAGTTAGTAGTCTGTCCTACGATGATGGTTCTGTAGTTAGTTAGTAGTCTGTCCTACGATGATGGTTCTGTAGTTAGTTAGTAGTCTGTCCTACGATGATGGTTCCGTAGTTAGTTAGTAGTCTGTCCTACGATGATGGTTCTGTAGTTAGTTGGTAGTCTGTCCTACGATGATGGTTCTGTAGTTAGTTAGTAGTCTGTCCTACGATGATGGTTCTGTAGTTAGTTAGTAGTCTGTCCTACGATGATGGTTCCGTAGTTAGTTAGTAGTCTGTCCTACGATGATGGTTCTGTAGTTAGTTAGTAGTCTGTCCTACGATGATGGTTGTAGTTAGTTAGTAGTCTGTCCTACGATGATGGTTCTGTTAGTTAGTTAGTAGTCTGTCCTACGATGATGGTTCTGTAGTTAGTTAGTAGTCTGTCCTACGATGATGGTTCTGTAGTTAGTTAGTAGTCTGTCCTACGATGATGGTTCCGTAGTTAGTTAGTAGTCTGTCCTACGATGATGGTTCTGTAGTTAGTTAGTAGTCTGTCCTATGATGATGGTTCTGTAGTTAGTTAGTAGTCTGTCCTACGATGATGGTTGTGTAGTTAGTTACAGAAAGCCTTCAGAGACTTACGTTGGGAATGATGGTCGTTCGGAACGCTTTGAAATTCACTGAAAAACCTACCATCATTGTTCTTGGCGAAGTTTAGCTTGATGAGGGACTTAGCTTCCAGTTTCTGGAGGGAAGAGAATGCATGTGAATGTGTGTGTCTGGTGTGGGGTGAAGAGGGAGGGAGGGAGACAGAGAGAGGTGGAGGGAGAGAGAGAGAGAGGTGGAGGTAGAGGAGAGAGAGGAGAGAGAGAAGAGAGAGAGGAGGAGGAGGAGTGGTGGAGGAGAGAGGGGAGAGAGAGAGTGGAGGAGAGGAGGGAGAGAGGTGAGAGAGAGAGAGAGAGGTGAGAGGGGAGGAGAGGAGTGAGAAGAGGTGGAGAGAGGAGAGAGAGGTGGGGGAGAGAGAGAGGGAGGAGAGAAGAGATGAGAAGGAGAGGTGGAGGGAGAGGAGTGATGAAAGAGGTGGGGGAGAGAGTTGAGTGAGGGGGGAGAGAGGTGGGAGGGAAGAGAGGTGGAGGAGAGAGAGAGGTGGAGGGAGGAGAGAGAGAGAGTGGAGGGAGAGAGAGAGTGGAGGAGAGAGAGAGTTGGGGAGAGGAGAGAGAGGTGAGGAGAGAGACATGAACAGAGAGTGGAGGGAGAGAGAGAGAGAGTTGGAGAGAGTTGGAGGGAGAGAGACAGAGGTGGAGGAGAGAGAGAGAGTTGGAGGGAGACAGAGAGAGTTGGAGGGAGAGAGAGAGAGAGTTGGAGGAGAGAGTTGGAGGGAGAGAGAGAGAGTTGGAGGGAGAGAGAGAGAGGTGGAGGGAGAGATACTGACAGAGAGAGGTGGAGGGAGAGATACTGACAGAGAGAGGTGGAGGGAGAGAGACTGACAGAGAGAGGTGGAGGGAGAGTGCATGGGCAGTCTGGACTATTAATGAGGCAATGCTTAGGAATAAATGATACATCTCTATATAGCAGCTCTCTATAATGTACAGACTTAGTGTTCAGGTTAGTCAGCCTTCTGTAATACAGCTTTATAATGTACAGACTTAGTGCATCAGAGACCATACAATATAAACACAGCACAGTACAGACAGACGGCAGGTACAGACAGACGGCAGCACGGCAGGTACAGACAGACGGCAGCACGGCAGGTACAGACAGACGGCAGCACGGCAGGTACAGACAGACGGCACGGCAGGTACAGACAGACGGCAGCACGGCAGGTACAGACAGACGGCAGGTACAGACAGACGGCAGCACGGCAGGTACAGACAGACGGCAGCACGGCAGGTACAGACAGACGGCAGGGCTAATGCTGCTGAATCTCCTTTGATCCACTATGATCTCCCCCCTCCTGCCCTAAGCACTATGATCTCCCCCCTCCTGCCCTAAGCACTATGATCTCCCCCCTCCTGCCCTAAGCACTATGATCTCCCCCCTCCTGCCCTAAGCACTATGATCTCCCCCCTCCTGCCCTAAGCCCTATGATCTCCCCCCTCCTGCCCTAAGCCCTATGATCTCCCCCCTCCTGCCCTAAGCCCTATGATCTCCCCCCTCCTGCCCTAAGCCCTATGATCCCCCCCCTCCTGCCCTAAGCACTATGATCTCCCCCCTCCTGCCCTAGCCTGATCCCCCTCCTGCCCTAAGCACTATGATCTCCCCCCTCCTGCCCTAAGCACTATGATCTCCCCCTCCTGCCCTAAGCACTATGATCTCCCCCCTCCTGCCCTAAGCACTATGATCTCCCCCCTCCTGCCCTAAGCACTATGATCTCCCCCCCTCCTGCCCTAAGCACTATGATCTCCCCCCCCCCCCCCTATGATCTCCCCCCTCCTGCCCTAAGCCATAACCATACATGCTGATAGTGATTCCATGTCATTTCAGTAAACCATGACACACACCATCTCAGATTGTTCTGAATGGTTTCTGTAGTTAGAAACATTCCTGAACCATTATTTTGTTTAAATGTAATTCTCAGACAAATTAAGCTAATTGATTGCACCAAAATTGGACATTTTAATTTATATTCAATAATTATAGTACCCAACATCTGATTTGGTCCAAATCAAATGGTGTAGACTTTGCCGTGAAATGCTTGTAAAAGAAGGTCAAACGGAACTGCTTTCATGGAGGACTGGCTTGAATTGTGAGGATGACCACAATTTATTTTCATAATGAGCCAAAGCAATTGGTTTTCTACCCAAAGTCGCAGAGGCAATGTTGTGATATATTTAATAAACACAAGAGACCAGCAAAATGGATAATAGTGTGGCGCTATACCAGGAACAGCGGCATCTAGTGGTCAAAACCTGGTACTTTCACACTACTTTATGGTAAATAATAATAATCTCAGAGAAATGTCATTGAAGTCGCTTGCATTATTTACCATTAAGTAGTGTGAAAGTACCAGGTTTTGACCACTAGATGCCGCTGTCCCTAGTTTAGTGCCACACTATTATATAATATAATATGCCATTTAGCAGACGCTTTTATCCAAAGCGACTTACAGTCATGCGTGCATACATTTTTTTTTGTGTATGGGTGGTCCCGGGGATCGAACCCACTACCTTGGCGTTACAAGCGCCGTGCTCTACCAGCTGAGCTACAGAGGACCATATATATATATATATATATATATATATATATATATATATATATATATATATATATATATATATATATTCACTAGATTAAACAGGGAATAAATTCAACAGAATGGAGAAGCAATACTCCAAGCTGCAGCTCCATACTACTCCACAAACAAAGAACTGATACTGTATACTGGCTGTTGGGGTGGGATTGGTGTGTCCATTTAACACGTCTTACTCCTTGGAAGGAAGAAGTTTGGTCCAAATTGGATGTTGGGTCCTATATTGAATACTATCCAAATCCTATAATTTAAAAAAAATTGCCTATTTGGGTGCAATCAATTAGCTTAATTTGTCAGAGATCACATTTTATTTCAACAAAATAATGTTTCAGGATTTATAATAATATCTGTTACTAACTGCAGAAATGATTTCAGAACAATCTCAGACGGTGGGTGTCGAAATCCTCTTTTTTATTTATTTTTTATTTAACCAGGTAAGCCAGTTGAGAACAGGTTCTCATTTACAACTGCGACCTGGCCAAGATAAAGCAAAGCAACACTTTCTAGTGTTGAGGTGGAACAACCCATGTGTTAGTCCTTCACAAGTGGAGAGAGAGAGACCCACAGCTGGACTAGTCCAGACATGTATGTATGTGTGTGTGTGTGTGTGTGTGTACCCCAGCAGCAGGACTAGTCCAGACATGTCTAGAACAGGGGTAGGCAACCCTGTTCCTGGAGTGCCGCAGGTACTGCAGGATTTGGTTCCAACTAGGCACCACACCTGACCAACTGAGCTAATTGATCAGATCAGTGATTGACTAAATTCAACACACCTGGTCTTCCAGGTCGGTTAAACCAAAAACGTTAAGCGCCTGCAGCCCTCCTGGACCCAGGTTGCCTTCCCCTGTTCTAGAAGGATCTCTCTGCAGCCAGACTAATCACTCCTGACTGGCTGACTGACTGCAGGATCCAGCTGGAAGGACACACATTAAGTCTCTCTCACTCACACACGCAGATACGAGCACGTCTCACCTATCAGTTCGTGGACATGTGAAACTGTCACGGCGTGATCTGGACATATGTTTTATCCACCTAGTTTAATCTCTGTTACTTTACCAGAGGAAAGAATGGCAGTTGGTGTACTAGGGGGCTTACCTGTAAAGTCCACAGGGGAACAGGTAAGCATGGACGTAGGGAAGACATGCACTCAGCCAGAGAGGAAGAGGCCAAGCCAGAGAGTTTTCAGTCTCACCTAAATCTGTCTAAAATAAGTCCAATGCGTTACTATGATAGGCTTATTTTTGGACCTAAGCTTGACGCCTGCCTTCCCGCATTTGGGACGACTCCCATTGTTGGGATGGAGACATGAGCATCTCATCATTATATACAGATCTCTGACTCGGATGACAGCCTCAACATGCTGTGGAGGTTGACTCCCTCCAGTGGCTGAGAAAGGTACTGTCATGCTTATAATAATCCATTTCTTAAGAAGTGCCAGGAACAATCCTGTTGTGGTTGGCTGACTACTTACCTCTCCAGAGATGGGATTGGTGCCAAACTTCTTTATCCAAGGAACGATGCTCCTAAAGCACAGGACACAGAGGGGTTTGGTCAACGCTACAGGCTGGTTTACACCTACTCTACTTATACAAAGCAAGAATGATAAGCAAAATGGCGATCCTGCCTTGAGTTATGAATTGAGGGGCTGCACACGTCTGCATAGTTTTGCTACGCAACTTGTAGTCCTTTAAAAAAAAATATTAATAATTTATTTAACTAGGCAAGTCCGTTAAGAACAAATTCTTATTTACAATGACGGCCTACACCGGCCAAACCCGGACGACGCTGGGCCAATTGTTTATACGTACGTTGGGTATAAACCAGGCTGAAAATGACAGTGCAATTACAGATTTCAGCTTCACTTTAACATCAGTAGACAACCTTACATTATATTACATATAGATCTCTACTCACAGCAGGTCAAAGACGATTCCCTCAGGAGTGCACATGGGGTACTCAAACGGCTGCAGAGACAAACTGAAATGGGACAGGGCAAGATTGAGCACACACACATTTAAAATGTAGCACCACTGCTAAAACCTTAGATTCGAATGACAACACTGTAAGGTCGCTACGGTATTTTTGCCTCTTGCGAACTGTACTTTTGCTCTGGGCTGGTGAAATAATTTCTTACCTGCAGTGGTCAAATGGAAGACGTCGAAAATTTGACTTTGGAATTTCTTAAAGAGATAAAAAAATAAATAAAAAAGACCGAAAGCATTAACATTGTTACTGAAGAACTCTTTCAAATAATCAGCATGATTCAGTATTGTACGTATTGTAATGAACAACTGGGTTCTACTCCTCCTCTTAAGGGACAATATCAAAAGAACATTACCTGATCTTTTTCCGCCATAGAAATGGGTGTACTCAGCACATGTGATGTACCTGGAGACAAAAAGAAAAAAAACTGTGACACAGCCCTTGAAGTTTAGAAGCAGGGTAAAATAGTAAAGATGTCACTATCAAACGCAATTGGAAAACTTGGTTGGATGGCAAAATTCTCAGAAAGAAAACATTTTTAGTAAAAGATCCGGCATGGCTTGAATACACAGGCTAAAGCTACAAAACGCTGTTGAAGTCTGCTAAATGGCATATTATTATTATTATTAAGTTCTCGAAATAAAACATGTCCTCAAAGATTGAAGGGTCAAATTCGAGCTGGTGACGCCGTTACTACGCAACCACCAGCTGATCACTCCTGGATGCTGGCACCATGTTTAGCTAGCTAGCTTGTTGCTGTTAGCTAGCACATGGAAAAAGCAGAACTGCAGTAGTCAGACATGACACGAATTACCACCGGATACTTCATTCATTTTTGCACAATACACTTTTATGATTACAGTCTGCCCTCGAACGTTAGCGACCTAACGTTAGCTAGCAAATCAGAGTTGAAACAAGCTTACCAGCTAGCTAGCATAAATTGTAGCTGGCCATGTCGTATTGAAAGCTAGATAGCTACATCATATCAAACCTGTCGTCTGGTTTGCTTGGTTAGCTAATAGCCTATATATTGGCATGGTAGGAATTACGCTAGCTAGCCTGTTATGCCAGCGACGATGCTAATCGTTTAGATAGCTAGCTAACGTTACGTTAGCAAGCTAAATACAAGGCTCTGAGTCTGTCTGGCACTGGCAGGAGTATGGGGTAACGTTAGATACAACATGGTGAGGGTGAATACAATTCTTCAACATCTTGCTAGTTAGCTAGCAACATTAGCGAAGCCAGCTGTACAGTCACATATTGGCTACCTGGCAACATAACATCGTTTCTGGAGGCAGTGGAAACGCAATTCGAGCTAGCCCACCAAGGGCCAGCCCAACCCGGCATGGCTTCAAAGTGTCCAATGGAAAGGGGGCTTGAGTGAACAACAGGCACAGCTAAGTAGTTTTTCCTCAGTTGCCGGAATGCCACGTGCGTCCACTTACATCAGTACATTTATAAACAGCCTACACGTTAACTACGAAACTTATCTTCGATCAAATAAGCCTCACGTAATCCGACAGCGGCATGGACCTCCACACAAAAAGAGCACATCTCACGCAGACATATATTTTGGGAGGAGTAAATCTTCTCGCTTCGCATCTTCCTCTCTGTTAGCGCAGATGTATAGCTAGTAGCTAACCTGTTTCTTCGCTCTCGGTTACTAGCTAGTTAGCTAACGTTAAAGGTTAGCTAGTGTCGTTGGCTGGCTAGCTAGCTAGTACTTTGTCAAGCTTTTTGACATTATTATATACTTGAAAACATTATGCTCAGAACTTACATTTTATCCTTCTGATGTTGACGCTTCCCCATTTTGATTGCGGTGTCAATAAATTACTATTAAACTTGTTTCATAAACTAGCTCGCTAGCTAGCCAAAATAGACTTCGTCGTTTGATTAAACCGGAAGTTTTGAATTTTATGCGAGTTGCGGAAGTACCATAGAGATAAAAAGAGGACTCTAGCACAGATAGAACAATGAGATTTTACCGGATGTATAAATGTGAAGCATCCGCTTGGTGTTTACACTCACTACCAAATATGGCCGGCAGTGGGAGAAGATGGAAAAAGGTGGATTTTGGAAGAAATCCCAGCAACATTTCTCATCAATGAAACATTTCATCTCAATACAGTTTTCTGTTACCAAAAGTAGAATCTGTTATGAATAGAGTGGACTAGGTTTTGTAGATTTTACCCTTTGCAAAAGTTTTTTAAAATCGCGTTATTTTGGAGTGCAAAGGCGAATTGACTGTTCCCTAAAGGGAAAATGCAGATGCATGCTAGAACGCGCCAATAGGATCTCGATAGCTCTATTACTCATGTGTTGTCATTGGAAACGACAGACCACAGCCTATCTTGGTTTAGTTATACAAAAAATAAACCCACGAATTTTTGTATGGAGGTCAATGAGAGAGTGAGTTGCTAATTTGCTACATGAGGCTTATTTGATATAATATAATTTTCGTAATGACTAGGTTGATAAGAATGCACTGGTATAGAGCCCCACAGTGGAGGTGTCATAACACATTTACATTTACATCATTTAGCAGAAGCTCTTATCCAGAGCGATTTACAGTTAGTGAGTGCATACATTTTTCATACTGCCAGGGTATGTCTACCCATAAAACCTAGCAGTCAACAGGGAAATGGTTCCAATCGTTTTTCCACCATTCATTTTTTCCCCATAGGGGATTTTAGAAACACTTAAAATAAATTATGTGTTTCGCGTAGGCTTACCCTGGCGAGACGTTTTGATAACAATGTAAATGTCTCTCGGACAAGGTGATTTATCAATATATATTCGGCTCTATTTACTCTCAGATTAGAAAATGCTAATTAGCATCAAAGTAGACATCATGCAAAACTGGTTTGCTTTGGAGCAGGAGCACAAGGAGGGTGGGCCGTTTTTTGGCGGACGAACCCGACAGACGATTGTGAATCGAGAGGGATTTTTAAAATCTTTGAAAAACAAAAACTTTACTCGGTGTGGCGGAGGTTCGGCACGGCCGTGCTGTGAATGGGTCAGAGATGGTAGGTGATGATGGTATTGATGATGATGGTGATGATAGCTACAGGGCCCCGTGTAGCTCAGTTGGTAGAGTGTTATGATGAGCTTCTCGGGTATCAAAGAATCAAGGATGCAAGGATATACTTAGACATTCTGTGGACATTTCATACCAAGTATTTATTGAATCACGAGCTCGTGGGTTCATCTAACAAACGGACATGGCTTTGCCCTTCGTCAGTTGAACTAACTTGAACAAAGAAGACACTATCTTATATACCCTTTATTACCCTCTTCCTGGCATACATCTGGTCTCCATGGGCACTCCCTGTCTTTGATGTTCATCACTCTTTACCCCAAGTCACTATCCTAAACATCACTCATGCTATCCTAAACATCACTCATGCTATCCTAAACATCACTCATGCTATCCTAAAACATCACTAATCTACCTTGACATAATGGAATGTAGACTTCATGGCCCCAAACCACTCATCTCGTAACTCTTCCTCTGTCCTCACAACACTATGACATGACATCACTATACCATAAAAACATAATATCAGTAGAGCATGGCGCTTGCAACGCCAGGGTTGTGGGTTCGTTTCCCACGGGGGGCCAGTATGAAAAAAATGATGCACTCACTAACTGTAAGTCGCTCTGGATAAGAGCGTCTGCTAAATGACTAAACATTTTAAATGTAAAAATGAGATAGTGATGGAGAGGAAAGTGAAGCAAGTATGGAACATAGTGGTACAAATAGAGGAGGGAGTAAGAAAGACAAAAAGAAAGTGGGAGAGAAAGGGAGGAGGGGAATGGAGGGGAGCGAGGAGAGCAACCAAGCTTCCAACGCTAGCGGATGTTCGGAGGTAGAAAGTGCAGAGGAAGGGCAAGATAAGACACGAGAGGAACATGGAGGTGAGGAGGAGCATAAAGTGATTATGAAGTTTAGGGAGGAAGGGGGAGTTGGGTCGATGAGTCCGATAAGGTTGACGGCTGTGATAGAAGAGTTGATTGGTGAAGTTGTTAATGCTAAAGTGTTAAGAGATGGGAGATTGTTGGTGTGCTGTAAGGACATGGTATGAGGGAAAACGCTCTCAGAGTGAAGCATATAGGGAAGTGTGAGGTGGAGTCGAGCAGCTGGACTGATCAAGCAGTGGAGTAAATGGGTGATAACAGGAGTGCCTGTGAGTGTTAGCATTAAAGAGGTAAGGGACAATTTGAGAGGAGGCGTTCTAGTGAATGTACAAAGATTGCAAGCAACAAGGGGTGGAGATAGGGTAGATAGCACGTCTATTCTGTTACATTTCAAGGACTGGGTACTGCCAAATAAGGTAACAATAGGATATATGAGTTATTATGTGAGGGCTTATGTACCGAAGCCTTTAAGATGTTATAAATGCCAGAGGTTTGGGCATGTGGCAACAGTCTGTAAAGAGAAAAAGAGGTGTGCCAGGTGTGGAGGAGAGCATGAGTATGGGAAGTGTGGAGATGGTGGACATCCAAAGTGCTGCAACTGTGGGGGTGCTCATAGTGTGGCATATAGTGGGTGTGAGGCTATGAAGAAGGCTGTGGAGGTTCTGTTGGACCCGTGAAGACCTCTAGTCGGAACGGAACATCATGTGAACCCTGCCACAACAGGAGCCTCTTTTCAGTACCGTGGATTCATGGGGTCCCGAGTGGCGCAGTGGTCTAAGGCACTGCATCACAGTGCTAGCTGTGCCACTAGAGATCCTGGTTCGAATCCAGGCTCTGTCGTAGCCGGCCGCGACCGGGAGACCCATGGGGCGGCGCACAATTGGCCCAGCGTCGTCCAGGGTAGGGGAGGGAATGGCCGGCAGGGATGTAGCTCAGTTGGTAGAGCATGGCGTTTGCAACGCTAGGGTTGTGGGTTCGATTCCCACGGGGGAGGGGCAGTATAAAAATGTATGCACTCACTAACTGTAAGTCGCTCTGGATAAGAGCGTCTGCTAAATCACTAAAATGTAAAATGTAATTCTCCCCCATGTCAGTGGCTCCACCTAGTGGCCATCTACTGTGCACAGCACACAACATAAGAGAGGAATAACATGCAAGTTGCTGAGTTCGTTTTTATTTAATGGAATGTCAATTACACTTTAAGACAGATAAACAGATTAAACATTTATCTATGTAAATAAAAGCACTGATCATCTACGGAAAATCACTAACTTGATACAGCTAGAGTTAACGAGCGAGAGGGAGACAATATAAAAGTGGTTAAGGCATTGTAACACTGCCTTTCCTACACTCTTGCAAAAGGTGCACCTCACCACCGCTACATCCACTATAGTGTCCATCCCAAAAAAAGGCCCCCTATTCCTTAGATAGTATACTACTACTGACCAGAAGCTCTGCTGAACCCATGAACTCTACTACTAGTAACACAGGGAGAGGTTAAAAAAGGTCTGGAGAGATTGGAGATGATCTACGACTGACTGGCCAGTAGTTTAAACAGCGTGTAGCCTGGGGTCAGCGTGTTGAGATGATACAACACGTAGCCTGGGGTCAGCGTGTTGAGTTGATACAGCACGTAGCCTGGGGTCAGCGTGTTGAGTTGATACAACATGTAGCCTGGGGTCAGTGTGTTGAGTTGATACAACATGTAGCCTGGGGTCAGTGTGTTGAGTTGATACAGCATGTAGCCTGGGGTCAGTGTGTTGAGTTGATACAGCATGTGGTCTGGGATCAGTGTGGGGTCATGTTCAGGAAAGTTCAACGTTACAAAACAGTCAGAAATGTATCATATAGAACATATGTGATTCGCTGTCAGGTACAATAGAACAGATATGATTGGCTGTCAGGTACAATAGGGAATCGTGTCAGCTCTATTCAGTATATTTCTATCTGTAACGTTATGAATGTTTCACCTTACTGAACCCTGGTCCCATAGACCCAGCAGCATGGCCTGCTCTGATTGGTCCAGCATGCTGTATGGCCTTCTCCTATTGGTGCTCCTTGAGGAACTCCTCCATGTAATTGGCCAGAGCCTGAGCGTCTTCCACTGTCACAGCATTGTAGAGAGACGCACGTATACCTCCCACTGACCTGTAGGGGGAGACACACACCATGAGCAGATGGACGTATACCTCCCACTGACCTGTAGGGGGAGACAAACACCATGAGCAGACAGACGTATACCTCCCACTGACCTGTAGGGGGAGACAAACACCATGAGCAGATGGACGTATACCTCCCACTGACCTGTAGGGGGAGACACAAACACCATGAGCAGATGGACGTATACCTCCCACTGACCTGTAGGGGGAGACACAAACACCATGAGCAGATGGACGTATACCTCCCACTGACCTGTAGGGGGAGACAAACACCATGAGCAGATGGACAGACAGACAGATACAGACAGACGTATACCTCCCACTGACCTGTAGGGGGAGACAAACACCATGAGCAGATGGACAGACAGACAGATACAGACAGACGTATACCTCCCACTGACCTGTAGGGGGAGACAAACACCATGAGCAGATGGACAGACAGACAGATACAGACAGACGTATACCTCCCACTGACCTGTAGGGGGAGACACAAACATCATGAGCAGATGGACAGACAGACATATACAGACAGACAGACAGACATATTCCTTCCACTGACAGAGACAGACAGACCTGTTCAGGGTCAAAAAAGGGGCGGTTACAATTCTGTTAGTTCACTTGTTGACCTGGATATGCTTCTTAATAAAACATATTTATTTGAAACAACCCACTACACTTCGTTATTATAATGGCATTTCATTAATATTACTCAGGTTATTACTTATAAATATTAAAATCAACAAATTAAGAAATGCCAGGTTGGAGAGGGTCCGTTACATTTTCATAGTGACACGACATTAACGGAGTCAAAATAAAGATATGCCTTCCTTGTCCTTGTCTGTTGGCTGTTCCTGCATATCATTTTTTTAAATACAGACCCTATTTCAACGCACAAAACCATTCAAATGAAGTCCGGTTGTGTTTTCACCGACTTTTCCCGAAATATTCACATAACATCACAAACCCTGCTGCGGTCATTCGACCGTTCTTCAAAGAGAGGACGTCGTAATGAGAGAAATAATGTTGCCTAAACTACTGAAAACAGGCCCTTTACAAGAATAAATCATGACAGGAGCGTTTGATTCTACGTTAGGAAACTTTATGAATGGACATTTGTGACTCGTTTCAGGAAACTAGACGTATGACGCGCGTCACTGCTTCACAGGAGAGACATTTGAACGTAAACAATTTTTTAAATCAAAATGCATTTTTTGGCAGAAATGCCTTCTGGAACATGTGAACTTTCATGTGCCTTAATAACAAACGTGTATGCCATCTGTAAATATGAATAAAATGGTTAAATTACGAGCCTAGGTGGTTTAGCCACGGAATAAGACAGGAACCTTCCCGCTAGCCATGATTGGCTGATATAATGGATGGGCTGGACATGCCGAGAGATGAGTTCGGATTGGTCTGCCATGTAGCATGGTCAGTATGTGTAGGTAATCCTTTCTAACACAGCTTTTAGAAAGATCTCACGTAGTACAACTTCAAAAGTGTTGCTCTCCACTTTCTGGAGGACCGAGTTTTGAAATCAGTGGATTTAGAGTATGATAGCTAAGGAGATGGAGAATATTCTGCCGTTTGATTGCAAATATGCAGACGGAGTCGAAAAGAGAACAAACAGAAGGCTGTTGTATAAAACACCTGTCTCTGGATTACATCTTCAAACTAAGGGCAACCATGGCATCCGTGACAGAGAGGGAGAAGCGTCCATCCATGTATACGGGTAAGATAGTCTAGCTAGCTACATTTTCAGATATTATACATTTCTAATTTTGTCAGAAAGTCATTTTCATTTCAAGTTAAAGCATACTGTTAGCTAAAGTTAGCTGGCTGGCTCGCTAGCTAACGTTACGTGTATGATCTGTGTAGTAATATTATTCGTATCTCAGAGCCATTTGCATTGCTTGTTATAGCCTAATGTTAGCTAATTGAAATTATTTGGGATGAGTCGGACCGCGGAGAGAAGGAAAAGCAGCCAACAAGTGCTCAGCATATGTGGGAACTCCTTCAAGACTGTTGGAAAAGCATTCCAGGTGAAGCTGGTTGAGAGAATGCCAAGAGTGTGCAAAGCTGTCATCAAGGCAAAGGGTGGCTATTTGAAGAATCTCAAATATAAAATATATTTTGATTTGTTTAACACTTTTTTGGTTACTACATGATTCCATATGTGTTATGTCATAGTTTTGATGTCTTCACAATTATTCTACAATGTAGAAAATTGTTAAAAATAAAGACAAATCCTTGAATGAGTAGGTGTTCTAAAACTTTTGACCGGTAGTGTATGTCAGACACAACATCTAATATTTCTCCTTTCCCTTAAAAAGGTATAAAGAAACCTAGGCCTACCTTAGGCTTTCTGAAAGTAGGCTATGAGATAATGAATTGAGAATGAAAGTCTGAAGGGGACATCTATATGGTATGAAGATGAAAAAGACTATCATTAAAAATAGAAACAAATACACACAACATGTCCATAGCCTATTTACCAGCCACGCTGATTATAGATGGAGAGTGTGTTGGAATAATTTTTCAATTTACTGTGAGGAACTATATATTATTACCAAATGACAGGGATTAACGGTAAATTGCCTGTTTTTATAAACGGTAGGTTACCACGTGGGCATTCATATATATTATTACCAAATGACAGGGATTAACGGTAAATTGCCTGTTTTTATAAACGGTAGGTTACCACATGGGCATTCATAAAAGTGCATTGTGGGCCGACACTATAACCTAGGCTAATATTCTACTTTGCGGGGATAGGAGGGCAGCAAATGTTTTTGTCTCGCCTAGGGCGGCATATTTAATCTAATTTACTTAACCTTTATTTAACTAGGCAAGTCAGTTAAGAACAAATTCTTATTTACAATGACGGCCTACACCGGCCCAAACCCGGACGACGCTGGGCCAATTGTGCGCCGCCCTATGGGACTCCCAATCACGGCCGGTTGTGACACAGCCTGGAATCGAACCAGGGGGTCTGTAGTGACGCCTCAAGCACTGAGATGCAGTGCCTTAGACCGCTGCGCCACCAGGGAGCCCAGGACCGGACCGCTGCGCCACCAGGGAGCCCAGGACCGGACATGATTAGTGTTGACTGGTCTATAAATTAAGAAAAGATTCCGTATCAAATTATACCATGCCAGGTTGGACAGGATTGGTCCATTTGACCCAAAATTAGCACATAAGCCTCAGAGCCAGAACAACCTTGCTGTTGAATAATTAACCAATAGTCAGACACATCCAACAGATTTATTTATTTACTAGCTAGCAATGAAAATGTGCATTATTTTAAAGAAAGTCCACACATCAAACCATTTTTTTTACTGAAGTGCCATAGCCTATAGCACTCTACACCCCCGTGCATCATCAGTTGGAAAGAAGAGGAGATATAGAACGTTAGCCTATAGCACTCTACACCCCCGTGCATCATCAGTTGGAAAGAAGAGGAGATATACAACGTTAGCCTATAGCACTCTCCACCCCCCGTGCATCATCAGTTGGAAAGAAGAGGAGATATACAACGTTAGCCTATAGCACTCTACACCCCCGTGCATCATCAGTTGGAAAGAAGAGGAGATATACAACGTTAGCCTATAGCACTCTACACCCCCCGTGCATCATCAGTTGAAAGAAGAGGAGATATACAACGTTAGCCTATAGCACTCTACCACCGCCCCATGGCATCATCGTTTGGAAAGAAGAGGAGATATCCAACGTTAGCCGATAGCACTCTACACCCCCGTTGCCATCATCAGTTTGGAAAGAAGAGGAGATATACAACGTTAGCCTAAAATAGCAACTCTACAACCCCCGTGCATCATCAGTGTGGAAGAAGAGGAGATATACAACGTTAGCCTAATGCACTCTCCTACCCTACCCCCCGTGCTCATCAGTTGGAAAGAAGAGGAGATATCGAACGTTAGCCTATAGCACTCGACACCCCCAGTGCAATCATCAGTTTGGAAAGAAGAGGAGATTAAACAACGTTATCCTATAGCACATCTACAAACACCCCCGTGCATCATCAGTTGGAAAGAAAGAGGAATAAAGTTAGCCTAAGCAACTTGCCTATAGCACTCTACAACCCCCGTGCATCATCAGTTTGAAAGAAGAGGAGATATACAACGTTAGCCTATAGCACTCTACACCCCCATGCATCATCAGTTGGAAAGAAGAGGAGATATACAACGTTAGCCTATAGCACTCTACACCCCCGTGCATCATCAGATGGAAAGAAGAGGAGATATACAACGTTAGCCTATAGCACTCTACACCCCTGTGCATCATCAGTTGGAAAGAAGAGGAGATGTAGACAGTTTAATAGACAGACTAAGTTAGCAAAACAATTGCTTTTAATTAGTAAACACTCCCGCTATTAGGTCAAGTTTATCTACATGAAAATAAAGTAAATAAATGTTTTTTTACAAATCCTAAAATGAATGTAGGCCTATTTAAACGGTTTGGGAGGTTTTTATTGTATTTTCATGATGGTCTTCATCCATAACCATCAGTTACATGGTTATTCAATTACCGCCCTACACACACACACCTTGGGCAGACAGACACAGACGGGTAGACAGACAAAGACGGGCAGACAGACACAGACGGGCAGACAGACACAGATGGAAGACCCCTCTTAACCACCAGGCACACATAGACACTGGGTGTGTGGTGTGTGTGTGTGTGTGTGTGTGTGTGTGTGTGTTTGTGTGTGTACCTGTGTCCCTTCAGTGAGATCATGCCCAGTTTGGAGGCTCCATCCAGGAACATCTTCTCCAGAGATTCGTCTCCCTGTTTCTTCCCCACGCGGAACGGAACGTTCATACGACTACGACACGCCACGTCCACCGGACACCTGACCACGTAACACACACACACACAACACGCCAGTTACCATGGAGACAGGCATGCTCACAACATGTTACACAGGTATACACTTTACAAACTCCATCTTGTAAACCAAACACTTTGTAACACTTTCCAAAACCCGGATTGAGCCTATTCCTACTAAATGTTATTTTCTGTTCAGAATCCCTCCCTCCGTCCCTCCATCTGAAAGGATACTAACGCGTAGAAGTGGTTGGAGGAGTTGATGATATCATAGATCATACTGGACTTCCTCTTGTTGAGCGTTTCTATGGCGTCAACACCTCCGTTGCTCTTTATCCACTCCAGAACCAGACTCATGATGTAGATACTAGAGGAGAGAGAGAGAGAAATATACACTGAGCGCACAAAACATTAGGAACACCTAATATTGAGTTGCAAGCCCAGGTGAGGAGAGGGACGGAAGCAATATGGTAACATCTACACTGATTGAAGTGGATTTAATAGGTGACATCAATAAGCTTTCACCTGGATTCACCTGGTCAGTCTGTCATGGAAAGAGCAGGTGTTCCTAATGTTTTGTATTATAGGGCCCTGTACTCTTCGTATTTTGGTTCTAAAACAACATATCCAGAATTTGTTAAAAACACCAAGGGACAGGACATAATAATCCTCCTGGAAACATGGTGTTGTGGAGACATTGGTACCCAGTGTCCCTCCGGCTATAGAGAACGTTTACTACCATCAATCAAACATAAAAACGTTAAACGGGCATAAGCATGAATTGAATTAAATGAAAAAAGATACTAACCACATTCGGATAAAACTTAACAAAAAAGGGACAATCTATTGTGATAATGATGTATACATTTGTGCAGCTTATGCTCCTCCAGATTCATCATATTATGATGATCAGATTTTTGACAAACTCATTCAATTTCAGGCAGAGGGTAAAGTGCTTCTTTGTGGAGATTTCATTGCGAGAACAGGTTCTGAGCCTGACTACACTGATACGGGAGGTAACCACCACATATTGGGACACCCCTCCATGTACAGTAGCCCAATTATAAATAATAGAAACAGTCCTGACCAAATACTGAACCAAAACGGGAAGGAGTTAGTGCATCTCTGTCGAGCCTTAGGCCTGTACATTCTTAATGGTAGAATGAGAGGGGACTCTTTAGGTCAGTTTACTTATTGCTCAGCTCTTGGGACAAGTGTAGTCGATTATGCCATCACTGACATCGACCCCTCCTCCATTAGTGCATTCACTGTCAGACCACAGACACCATTGTCAGATCAACGTGTTTCTGAAGAAATTAACCAGCAATACTCATTCAAAAATACAGCCCAACAAACTCTACAACATGAACCAAATAGTACAGACGGGCTTCAAACAGCGCAGAGAAATTCATTGAAACACTGAACTCAAATGAAAGGATGAAACTCTACAGGTCTTCAATAAACTCACAATACCAAAACAATAAAAAAGGTGTCAATTCAGAAAATCTGGGAAAACTAAAGAAATGCAACATCAGAAACAAAAAATTTAACGTTTCTGAAAAATGGTTTCGAAAGATAAATTACACAAAGTAGCATAACATAAACAATTAGAAATTCAACAAAAATTTAACATCCTTGAATGTCATTAAAAAACAACCGAAATCCATTAGATTACCCAATAACCCAACAAGAACTACATGAAAAGCTCAAAATCTATAGATGACATCAGAAATGAGATGCTGAAAAACACCTGAGTTGCAAAATGCTGTGGTTAAATTGTTCAACATGGTACTAACTTCTGTCTGCTTTCCTGATGTCTGGAACCAGGGGCTCATCTCCCCTATCCACAAAAGTGGAGACAAATCAGACCCCAATAATTACTGGGTGAATTTGCATAAACAGCAACTTGGGAAAGGTTTTCTGTAGCATTTTGAATTCAAGAATCCAAACATTTCAAGATTTTTTTTTTTTTATAAGTAAATATCAAATTGGCTTTCTCCCTAACCATCGCACTACTGACCATATATAGTATACACACTAATTAATAAACACATCAACCCAAAAAAAAGAGGTCAAAATCTTTGCTTGCTTTATTGACTTAAAAAGCATTTGATTCTATTTGGCTCAAAGGTCTATTCTTCAGAATTTTACAAAGTAGGCTTCATGGTAAGGTGTATGACTTAATAAAATGTATGTACACAGAAAACAAGTGTGCAATAAAAATCTAAAACCAAAAAAGAAACACACAAAAAAATCGGAAGTTTGAGGTGTGAGACAAGGCTGCAGTTTGAGTCCAAACCTATTCAACATTAATATCAGTGAATTAGCAGACATGTTGGACCATTCTGCAGCCCCAGGACTCACACTATTTGAGACGTGGGTAAAATACCTGCTCTGGATAAGAGCGTCTGCTAAATGATGTAAATGTAAAATATGCTGATGATTTGGTTCTTCTATCACCAACAAAAGGAGGCCTCCTGTAGCTCAGTTGGTAGAGCGTGGCGCTTGCAACGCCAGGATTGTGGGTTCGATTCCCACGGGGGGCCAGTATGAAAAATGTATGCACTCACTAACTGTAAGTCGTTCTGGATAAGAGCATCTGCTAAATGACTAATTTTTTATTTATTTAAATTAAATAACAAATAAAATAACAAAAAAAAGGTATTCAACAGAACATTCTAGAGCAATATTGGCATAATTGATTGCCATAGTTGGGCCCTGGCAGTAAATAATTAAAATCATGATTTTCCAGAAAACCCCCAGATGTCAGGAACACAAATATAAATACACCTTGAACACCATAATTGAACAAACAAAAAATGACTCAAACCTTGGTCTGACCATATCTGCATTGGTAAACTTTAATATGGCAGTGAATGAACTCAAAGAAAAAGCCTGCAGAGCATTTTATGTAATAAAAATTACATTATTTAAAAAACAACATCCCAATTAGAATTTGGACCAAAATAGTTGACAGCGTAATCCTACCTATTGCTCTTTACAGAAGTGTGGTTTGGGGGCCACGCAATAAACTGGACTTTAAAATATGGGAGAAACATCCAATTGAAGCCCTACATGCAGAATTCTGTCGGACAATTCTACAAGTCCAAAGAAATACGCCAGCTAATGCATGTAGGGCAGAATTGGACCGCTTTCCATTGGCAATGAAAATACAATACAAAAAAAGATCATTAACATTTTGGCTATACCTAAATTCAAGCCTTCAATTTAAAGCACTTCAAACCCAAGAGCTGAGCCCAGAAACGAGCCCTCTCAGTCAGCTGGTGTTGGACCTAACCAACCAAGCTGACACCAGCACTGCTTCAAAAGAAAGTATCCAAATAAACAAAATCATGAACCAATCAAAGGACTCATAATTAAAACACTGGAAAAACGAAACAAAATGTCAAAGCCGACTAAATAGCTATCTGGCCCTAAACAGAGAATATGAATTGGCTGATTATCTCTACTCTGTCAGATACGAACCAGAGACAGATCCTTACCAAGTACAGGCTGAGTGAACACCAATTGGCAATAGAAAACAACAGACATAAAAAGACACGGCTACCCAAAGAGGAGCGTGTATGTGGTCACTCCACAACAGGGAGGTAGAAACAGAAATGCGCTTTCGCTTCTACTGTGAGAAATATTCCTCACTAAGAGATTCATTATTGCTACATCTATTCCAAATGTTAACTTATTAAACCCGAAGGTCCCGTGTAGCTCAGTTGGTAGAGCATGGCGCTTTCAACGCCAGGGTTGTGAGTTCGATTCCCACGGGGGGCCAGTATGAAAAAATTAATAAAACATGTATGCACTCACTAACTGTAAGTCGCTCTGGATAAGAGCGTCTGCTAAATGACTAAAATGTAAAATGAAGGAAAAACAAAAAATACTCATGGGCGATGGAGCCTGCCATAGCCTTAGGGACACTGAATAACAACAACAACAACATCTGCATAGTAACCAGTAACTTACTTATTATTGTTATTATTATTATTGTTGTGATTATTATTCCAAATAGTCAAGGTACGGGTAGTAGGGGTGATGGTAATGATGGCAGTTTAATGATGGTGGTGGTAGTAGTAGTAGTAATCTAACTGTAAGTCGCTCTGGATAAGAGCGTCTGCTAAATGACTAAAATGTCAATGTAAAATGTAATGATGATGGTAGTTGTAGTACTGACGTAATGGTGAGGATGACAGTTAGTTATAGTTTTAGTACAGGCTTCCTTCTTTTCACTTTGTCATTTAGGTTAGTATTGTGGAGTAACTACAATGTTGTTGATCCATCCTCAGTTTTCTCCTATCACAGCCATTAAACTCTGTAACTGTTTATAAGTCACCATTGGCCTCATGGTGAAATCACTGAGCGGTTTCTTTCCTCTCCGGCAACTGAGTTAGGAAGGACGCCTGTATCTTTGTAGTGACTGGGTGTATTGATACACCATCCAAAGTCAATCAATCAATTTTATTTTATATAGCCCTTCTTACATCAGCTAATATCTCGAAGTGCTGTACAGAAACCCAGCCTAAAACCCCAAACAGCTAGTAATGCAGGTGTAGAAGCACGGTGGCTAGGAAAAACTCCCTAGAAAGGCGAAAACCTAGGAAGAAACCTAGAGAGGAACCAGGCTATGAGGGGTGGCCAGTCCTCTTCTGGCTGTGCCGGGTGAAGATTATAACAGAACCATGCCAAGATGTTCAAAAATGTTCATAAGTGACAAGCATGGTCAAATAATAATCAGGAATAAATCTCAGTTGGCTTTTCATAGCCGATCATTAAGAGTTGAAAACAGCAGGTCTGGGACAGGTAGGGGTTCCATAACCGCAGGCAGAACAGTTGAAACTGGAATAGCAGCAAGGCCAGGCGGACTGGGGACAGCAAGGAGTCACCACGGCCGGTAGTCCCGACGTATGGTCCTAGGGCTCAGGTCTCTCAGTTGGCTTTTCATAGCCGATCATTAAGAGTTGAAAACAGCAGGTCTGGGACAGGTAGGGGTTTCGTAACCGCAGGCAGAACAGTTGAAACTGGAATAGCAGCAAGGCCAGGCGGACTGGGGACAGCAAGGTGTCATCATGCCCGGTAGTCCTGACGTATGGTCCTAGGGCTCAGGTTCTCAGAGAGAAAGAGAGAACGAGAGAATTAGAGAGAGCATACTTAAATTCACACAGGACACTGGATAAGACAGGAGAAGTACTCCAGGTATAACCAACTAACCCCAGCCCCCCGACACATAAACTACTGCAGCATAAATACTGGAGGCTGAGACAGGAGCGGTCCGGAGACACTGTGGCCCCATCCGAAGAAACCCCCGGACAGGGCCAAACAGGAAGGATATAACCCCACCCACTCTGCCAAAGCACAGCCCCCGCACCACTAGAGGGATATCCTCAACCACCAACTTACAATCCTGAGACAAGGCCGAGTATAGCCCACAGAGGTCTCCACCACAGCACAAACCAAGGGGGGGCGCCAACCCAGACAGGAAGATCACGTCAGTAACTCAACCCACTCAAGTGACGCACCCCTCCCAGGGACGGCATGAAAGAGCACCAGCAAGCCAGTGACTCAGCCCCTGCAACAGGGTTAGAGGCAGAGAACCCCAGTGGAGAGGGGAACCGGCCCGGCAGAGACAGCAAGGGCTGTTCGTTGCTCCAGAGCCTTTCCGTTCACCTTCACACTCCTGGGCCAGACTACACTCAATCATATGACCTACTGAAGAGATAAGTCTTCAGTAAAGACTTAAAGGTTGAGACCGAGTCTGCGTCTCTCACATGGGTAGGCAGACTGTTCCATAAAAATGGAGATCTATAGGAGAAAGCCCTGCCTCCCGCTGTTTGCTTAGAAATTCTAGGGACAATTAGGAGGCCTGCGTCTTGTGACCGTAGCGTACGTATTGGTATGTACGGCAGGACCAACTCGGAAAGATAGGTAGGAGCAAGCCCATGTAACGCTTTATAGGTTAACAGTAAAACCTTGAAATCAGCCCTTGCCTTAACAGGAAGCCAGTGTAGGGAAGCTAGCACTGGAGTAATATGATCAAATTTCTTGGTTCTAGTCAGGATTCTAGCAGCCGTATTTAGCACTAACTGAAGTTTATTTAGTGCTTTATCCGGGTAGCCGGAAAATTGAGCATTGCAGTAGTCTAACCTAGAAGTAACAAATGCATGGATTAATTTTTCTGCATCATTTTTGGACAGAAAATTTCTGATTTTTGCAATGTTACGTAGATGGAAAAAAGCTGTCCTTGAAACAGTCTTGATATGTTCGTCAAAAGAGAGATCAGGGTCAAGAGTAACGCCGAGGTCCTTCACAGAGTGTAATTAATAACTTCACCATGCTCAAAGTGATATTCAATGTCTGCTGGTTTTCATTTTTTACCCTTCTACCTAACAATAGGTGCCCTTCTTTGCGAGGCATTGGAAACCTCACTAGTCTTTGATATTCCAGAAAAGGTCCAGATGTCAGGGAAACTGATATCCTTTTTTACTGGGCTCCACTCATATAGAACACACACTCCTACACATAATGGGACTAAACATGAGCTCCACTGGGAACTTCAACCTGGCTGTGACTGAACTGAAAAGACAAAGCAAGCAGGGCTTTCTATGCCATTAAACAATCTATTAAATTAGACATACCAATTAGGATCTGGCTCTAAATATTCTAATCAATAATAGAACCAATCAGCACTCTATGGCAGTGAAGGGCGGAGCTTACAGAGCTGGACAAATGGGACAAAGGCCCAACTGAAACCCTGCGGAATTCTGTAAGAGAAAAACTCCAAACGCATGCAGAGCAGAATTAAGCCAATTCCCTTTTCTGATTAATATCCCAAAAAGAGCCACCAAATTGTATAATCATTTAGTGACCCCCAGTCCTATGGCCCACCCAAATCATCACAAAGCAAAAAGAAAGATATATCACCTATTGGAAAGACACCACAAAAAATCAAAGTAAACTTCAATGCTTTGTCTCTAAACAGACAGTACATTGTGGAAGACTATCTGACCACTGTGACTGATAGAAAACTGAGGAAAACACTGACTAGGTACAGACTCAGTGAGCACAGTCTGGCCATAGAGACCAGTCGTCACAGGCAAACCTGGCTGCCCAGTGAGGACCACTCCCATGTGGCTCAGTTGGGAGAGCATGGCGCTTGCAATGCCAGGGTGGTGGGTTCGATTCCCACGGGGGACCAGTATGAAAAATGTATGCACTCAGGATAAGAGCGTCTGCTAAATGACTAAAATGTCAAAATGAAAGGACAGCCTGGCCATAGAGAGCGAGAGAGAGAGCTGTAATGCTTGGTTGGAACAAAAGCCTGCACACCCAAACCTGCTGTAAAAGCTTGTCTGTAATTGAAGCAAGGCACTGTGTGTTACCTGAAGCAAGGCACTGTGTGTTACCTGAAGCAAGGCACTGTGTGTTACCTGAAGCAAGGCACTGTGTGTTACCTTTTTTGGGCGGCAGGTAGCTTAGTGGTTAAGAGCGTTGTGCCAGTAACCGAAAGGTCGCTGGTTCTAATCCCCGAGCCGACTAGGTGAAAAATCTGTCGATGTGCCCTTGAGCAAGGCACTTAACCCTAATTGCTCCTTTAAGTCGCTCTGGATAAGAGCGTCTGCTAAATTACTAAAATGTAAAATGTTACCTGAAGCAGGGTGGTGTGTTGTACATAGAGTTGTTCCTAGCCTGCACTTGGTAGTCAAGGACAATGGGACACTCCGTCAGGGCATGGCCAATGAGATCCTCTCTCACGATCACCACAGTAACACCAGCACAGCCCACGTTCTTCTGAGCCCCAGCGAAGATCAGCCCAAACTATAAACAACACATTGAATAAACACCAACACACAGGAAGTTATAACTGGGTTATTACCCTTACATGGTTCAGGCCATTTCTGTAAATAAAGTGCTAACAAAGAAAAGCATGCAGTAGTTGGTAAACTTTCATTTACCTTATGCTGCATAACCATAACCTACAGTACCAGTCAAAAGTTTAGACACACCTACTCATTCAAGGGTTTTTCTTTATTTTTTGACTATTTTCTACATTGTAGAATAATAGCGAAGACATCAAAACTATGAAATAACACATATGGCATCATGTAGTAACCAAAAAAAGTGTTAAACAAATCAAAATATATTTAATATTTTGATTCTTCAAAGTAGCCACCCTTTGCCTTGACAGCTTTGCACAGTGTTGGCATTCTCTCAACCAGCTTCATGAGGAATGCTTTTCCAACAGTCTTGATGGAGTTCCCACATATGCTGAGCACTTGTTGGTTGCTTTACCTTCACTCTGCGGTCCAACTCATCACAAACCATCTCAATTCGGTTGAGGTCGGGTGATTGTGGAGGCCAGGGCATCTGATGCAGCACTCCATCACTCTCCTTCTTGGTCAAATAGCCCTTACACAGCCTGGAGGTGTGTTGGGTCATTGTCGTGTTGAAAAACAAATGATAGTCTCACTAAGCCCAAACCAGATGGGATGGCGTATCGCTGCAGAATGCTGTGGTAGCCATGCTGGTTAAGTGTGCCTTGAATTCTAAATAAATCACAGACAGTGTCACCAGCAAAGCACCCCCACACCTTCTCTTCCATGCTTCACGGTGGGAACCACACATGCGGAAATCATCCGTTCACCTACTCTGCGTCTCACAAAGACACGGAGGTTGGAACCAAAAATCTCAACTTTGGACTCATTAGACCAAAAGGACAGATTTCCACCGGTCTAATGTCCATTGCTCGTGTTTCTTGGCACAAGCAAGTCTCTTCTTCTTAATGGTGTCCTTTAGTAGTGGTTTCTTTGCAGCAATTCGACATGAAGGCCTGATTCACGCAGTCTCCTCTGAACAGTTGATGTTGAGATGTGTCTGTTACTTGAACTCTGTGAAGCATTTATTTGGGCTGCAATTTGAAGTGCACTTAACTCTAATGAACTTATCCTCTGCAGCAAAGGTAACTCTGGGTCTTCCTTTCCTGTGGTGGTCCTCATGAGAGCCAGTTTCATCATAGCGCTTGATGGTTTCTGCAACTGCACTTGAGGAAACTTTCAAAGTTCTTGAAATGTTCCATATTGACTGACCTTCATGTTTTGAAGTAATGATGGACTGTCGTTTCACTTTGCTTATTTGAGCTGTTCTTTCCATAATATGGACTTGGTCTTTTACCAAATAGGGCTATCTTCTTTATACCAACCCTACCTTGTCACAACACAACTGATTGGCTCAAACGCATTAAGAAGGAAAGAAATTCCACAAATTAACAAGGCACACCTGTTAATTGAAATGCATTCCAGATGACTACCTCATGAAGCTGGTTGAGAGAATGCCAAGAGTGTGCAAAGCTGTCATCAAGGCAAAGAGTGGCTATTTGAAGAATCTCAAATATAAAATATATTTTGATTTGTTTAACACTTCTTTGGTTACTACATGATTCCATATGTGTTATTTCATAGTTTTGATGTCCTCACTATTATTCTACAATGTAGAAAATACTATGTAGAATAATAGTGAGTAGGTGTCCAAACTTTTGACTGGTACTGTATAATCAACACCTCAAAGCTAATTTCCATGCTCATACATTTTAATGATGTAGCCAATTTTGACTTTGCAGCATGGTTGTGTCGTTGGAACCAAGTGAAATGCTCATCCTTACCTTGGAAACATCGACGGGTCGGGACAGGAAGTTAGAGGACATGTCAGAGACCAGGACGGCTCCGTGGGTGTCCGGGGTGAAGTTGTACTCCACGCCGTGCACTGTCTCGTTGCAGCAGTAATACACGTAGGACGCTCCAGGGGTCAACGACCAGCTGCTGGGGTCAGGGATCTCTGGAGGACCGCAGGAGGACAGTCAGAATCATTAGACCACAAGGTCAAAACAACACTAGAATCACGACTACCGGAGGACCACAAGGTCAAAACACTAGAATCACAACTACAGGAGGACCACAGGGTCAAAACACTAGAATCACAACTACAGGAGGACCACAGGGACAAAACAACACTGGAATCACAACTACAGGAGGACCACAAGGTCAAAACAACACTAGAATCACAACTACAGGAGGACCACAGGGTCAAAACACTAGAATCACAACTACAGGAGGACCACAGGGTCAAAACACTAGAATCACAACTACAGGAGGACCACAAGGTCAAAACAACACTAGAATCACAACTACAGGAGGACCACAGGGTCAAAACACTAGAATCACAACTACAGGAGGACCACAGGGTCAAAACACTAGAATCACAACTACAGGAGGACCACAGGGTCAAAACACTAGAACCACAACTACAGGAGGACCACAGGGTCAAAACACTGGAATCACAACTACAGGAGGACCACAAGGTCAAAACAACACTAGAATCACAACTACAGGAGGACCACAAGGTCAAAACACTAGAATCACAACTACAGAAGGACCACAAGGTCAAAACACTAGAATCACAACTACAGGAGGACCACAGGGTCAAAACAACACTAGAATCACAACTACAGGAGGACCACAAGGTCAAAACACTAGAATCACAACTACAGGAGGACCACAGGGTCAAAACAACACTAGAATCACAACTACAGGAGGACCACAGGGTCAAAACACTAGAATCACAACTACAGGAGGACCACAGGGTCAAAACACTAGAATCACAACTACAGGAGGACCACAAGGTCAAAACACTAGAATCAGAACGACAGGAGGACCACAAGGTCAAAACACTAGAATCACAACTACAGGAGGACCACAAGGTCAAAACAACACTAGAATCACAACTACAGGAGGACCACAAGGTCAAAACACTAGAATCAGAACGACAGGAGGACCACAAGGTCAAAACAATACAACCACCGTCCAGTCATAACAACCACAATATGAACATATGGTCCCCAATAAATATGGAATCCCAACCGAAGCACGACCAGACGGGGCAAACAAAAACTACAACAAGGCGTCCACAGAGTCTGAACAACAGTAGACTCACAACCACAGTAGGTCTGCAGGGTCCATCTCCCAGATAGCAAAACATGTCCTCCCACCTGCTGTTTGTCACCTTCCTTACACCCAAGACTATACATTCATACCGCCAGCAGGCGAATGGAGTTTTCCATTCAAGACATGATTTGCATCTCTGGCGGGTGGCCTCCACTCATTGGACCGCTATAAGCCCTTGGCAAGCCATCTAGCCATGAGCTAATTTCAAACACAATAGCAAGGAATTTCTCAAATTGGGCCTGCCACCTTCCAGCTAACCACAGGGGCCTGCCACCTTCCAGCTAACCACAGGGGCCTGCCACCTTCCAGCTAACCACAGGGGCCTGCCACCTTCCAGCTAACCACAGGGCCTGCCACCTTCCAGCTAACCACAGGGGCCTGCCACCTTCCAGCTAACCACAGGGGCCTGCCACCTTCCAGCTAACCACAGGGGCCTGCCACCTTCCAGCTAACCACAGGGGCCTGCCACCTTCCAGCTAACCACAGGGGCCTGCCACCTTCCAGCTAACCACAGGGCCTGCCACCTTCCAGCTAACCACAGGGGCCTGCCACCTTCCAGCTAACCACAGGGGCCAACCACCTTCCAGCTAACCACAGGGGCCTGCCACCTTCCAGCTAACCACAGGGCTGCCACCTTCCAGCTAACCACAGGGGCCTGCCACCTTCCAGCTAACCACAGGGGCCTGCCACCTTCCAGCGGACCACAGGGCCTGCCACCTTCCAGCTAACCACAGGGGCCTGCCACCTTCCAGCTAACCACAGGGGCCTGCCACCTTCCAGCTAACCTAGGGGCCTGCCACCTTCCAGCTAACCACAGGGGCCTGCCACCTTCCAGCTAACCACAGGGGCCTGCCACCTTCCAGCTAACCACAGGGGCCTGCACCTTCCAGCTAACCACAGGGGCCTGCCACCTTCCAGCGGACCACAGGGGCCTGCCACCTTCCAGCTAACCACAGGGGCCTGCCACCTTCCAGCTAACCACAGGGCCTGCCACCTTCCAGCTAACCACAGGGGCCTGCCACCTTCCAGCTAACCCACAGGGGCCTGCCACCTTCCAGCTAACCACAGGGGCCAACCACCTTCCAGCTAACCACAGGGGCCTGCCACCTTCCAGCGGACCACAGGGGCCTGCCACCTTCCAGCTAACCACAGGGGCCTGCCACCTTCCAGCTAACCACAGGGGCCTGCCACCTTCCAGCTAACCACAGGGGCCTGCCACCTTCCAGCTAACCACAGGGGCCTGCCACCTTCCAGCTAACCACAGGGGCCTGCCACCTTCCAGCTAACCACAGGGGCCTGCCACCTTCCAGCTAACCACAGGGGCCAACCACCTTCCAGCTAACCACAGGGGCCTGCCACCTTCCAGCTAACCACAGGGGCCTGCCACCTTCCAGCTAACCACAGGGGCCTGCCACCTTCCAGCTAACCACAGGGGCCTGCCACCTTCCAGCTAACCACAGGGGCCTGCCACCTTCCAGCTAACCACAGGGCCTGCCACCTTCCAGCTAACCACAGGGGCCTGCCCACCTTCCAGCTAACCACAGGGGCCAACCACCTTCCAGCTAACCACAGGGGCCAACCACCTTCCAGCTAACCACAGGGGCCTGCCACCTTCCAGCTAACCACAGGGGCCTGCCACCTTCCAGCTAACCACAGGGGCCTGCCACCTTCCAGCTAACCACAGGGGCCTGCCACCTTCCAGCTAACCACAGGGGCCAACCACCTTCCAGCTAACCACAGGGGCCAACCACCTTCCAGCTAACCACAGGGGCCTGCCACCTTCCAGCTAACCACAGGGGCCAACCACCTTCCAGCTAACCACAGGGGCCTGCCACCTTCCAGCTAACCACAGGGGCCCTGCCACCTTCCAGCTAACCACAGGGGCCTGCCACCTTCCAGCTAACCACAGGGGCCTGCCACCTTCCAGCTAACCACAGGGGCCTGCCACCTTCCAGCATAACCACAGGGGCCTGCCACCTTCCAGCTAACCACAGGGGCCTGCCACCTTCCAGCTAACCACAGGGCCTGCCACCTTCCAGCTAACCACAGGGGCCTGCCACCTTCCAGCTAAACCACAGGGGCCTGCCACCTTCCAGCTAACCACAGGGCCAACCACCTTCCAGCTAAACCACAGGGGGCCAACCACCTTCCAGCTAACCACAGGGGCCTGCCACCTTCCAGCTAACCACAGGGGCCTGCCACCTTCCAGCTAACCACAGGGGCCTGCCACCTTCCAGCTAACCACAGGGGCCTGCCACCTTCCAGCTAACCACAGGGGCCAACCACCTTCCAGCTAACCACAGGGGCCAACCACCTTCCAGCTAACCACAGGGGCCTGCCACCTTCCAGCTAACCACAGGGGCCAACCACCTTCCAGCTAACCACAGGGGCCTGCCACCTTCCAGCTAACCACAGGGGCCTGCCACCTTCCAGCTAACCACAGGGGCCTGCCACCTTCCAGCTAACCACAGGGGCCTGCCACCTTCCAGCTAACCACAGGGGCCTGCCACCTTCCAGCTAACCACAGGGGCCTGCCACCTTCCAGCTAACCACAGGGGCCTGCCACCTTCCAGCTAACCACAGGGGCCTGCCACCTTCCAGCTAACCACAGGGGCCTGCCACCTTCCAGCTAACCACAGCCAGCCAAAGGCTACAAGCTGTTTTTGTTGTTTCTATAAATACCTTACATTTGTTGTGATTTTAATTGGATTTATTTGCCAATTTAAAAAACACAATGCAACCACGTGGACATAATGCATTTACAGTTTTACATTTTAGTCATTTTAGCAGACGCTCTTATCCAGAGCAACTTACGGTTAGTGAGTGCATACATTTTCATACTGGCCCCCCGTGGGAAACGAACCCACAACCCTGGTGTTGCAAGCGCCACGCTCTACCAACTGAGCTACACGGGGCCCCGTGATGATGACACAAAAAGTGATACACCTAATAATTTAAAGTAGATTCATGATATATTAATTATGCCCAAAAATAGCCTACATTTTTTGCCATTGATTTAATATACTATATAGCAATACAAACAGTTGTTTTTTCCTACCAATAAATACCCCTCCCAAAACCGCCTCACCCACCTGATGAAGTGTTGATCCCTAGGTACCGTAGGTAGTGGCCCCTCTTAAACACCACAGGCTTTTTAAACTAAAGAACAGTTTAATTGTTTGTATTTATCACCACCAAACGTTTTGAAATACCGAACAAAGCGGCACCCATTCAGTCGATATACAGTGGCTTGCGAAAGTATTCACCCCACCTTGGCATTTTTCCTATTTTGTTGCCTTACAACCTGGAATTAAAATGGATTTTTGGGGGGTTTGTATCATTTGATTTACACAACATGCCTACCACTTTGAAGATGCAAAATATTTTTTCTGGTGAAACAAACAAGATATAACACAAAAAAACGGACGTCTTGAGCGTGCATAACTAGTCACCCCCACAAGGTCAATACTTTGTAGAGCCACCTTTTGCAGCAATTACAGCTGCAAGTCTCTTGGGGTATGTCTCTATAAGCTTGGCACATCTAGCCACTGGGATTTTTGGCCAGTCTTCAAGGCAAAACTGCTCCAGCTCCTTCAAGTTGGATGGGTTCCACTGGTGTACAGCAATCTTTATGTCATACCACAGATTCTCAATTGGATTGAGGTCTGGGCTTTGACTAGGCCATTCCAAGACATTTAAATGTTTCCCCTTAAACCACTCAAGTGTTTCTTTAGCAGTATGCTTAGGGTCCTGCTGGAAGGTGAACCTCTGTCCCAGTGTCAAATCTCTGGAAGACTGAAACAGGTTTCCCTCAAGAATTTCCCTGTATTTAGCGCCATCCATCATTCCTTCAATTCTGATGCTTATTTTTGTCTTATGTTGCACCTACACCACATTTAAAAGGAATATTCTTATCATGTTACTGAATGTATCCAGAGTTTATTCAGATTTTGTTATCAACAAATGCAGCCAAAAGTACAGAAAATGTAAATACAATCAAGTGTAATGTTTGGATTCAGTCTTGTCAGGTGAACTGTTGTGTACTCACCTTTTTGGTCTAATCATTTCCCCCATAATCTCCAAACTGTTCCCTTTCAATTGCTACCATTGTTATGCATTTAATATTTGTTCTGTAAGAAACATTCAATTCCCATGTGTGTGAAAGGTTAAGTGAAACTCAGGGTTGGGTTATACAAAAAATCAGAAACGTTGAACACCCCACACAGCACCATTAAATCCATTATTACAAAATGGAAAGAATATGACACCACAACAAACCTGGCAAGAGATGGCCGCCCACCAAAACGCACGGACCAGGCAAGGAGGGCATTAAATCAGAGGCAACAAAGAGACCAAAGATAACCCTGAAGGAGCTGCAAAGCTCCACAGCGGAGATTGGAGTATCTGTCCATAGGACCACTTTAAGCCGTACACTCCACAGAGCTGGGCTTTACGGAAGAGTGGCCACAAAAAATAAGTAAACGTTTGGTGTTCGCCAAAAGGCATGTGGGAGACTCCCCAAACATATGGAAGAAGGTACTCTGGTCAGATGAGACTAAAATTAAGCTTTTTGGCCATCAAAGAAAACGCTAACCCAACACCTCTCATCACCCCGAGAACACCATCGGCAGGGACTGGGAAACTGGTCAGAATTGAAGGAATGATGGATGGCTCTAAATACAGGGAAATTCTTGAGGGGAACCTGTTTCAGTCTTCCAGAGATTTGAAACTGGGATGAGATTCACCTTCCAGCAGGACAATGACCCTAAGCATCTGTAAAAGTGTGTGAGGGTTTTAGGTGCCATGCCGAATTTCTTCAGGTTGAAGAGGCTCTGTTGCGCCTTCTTCACCACACTGTCTGCGTGGGTGGACCATTTCAGTTTGTCGGTGATGTGTACGCCAAGGAACTTGAAGCTTTCCACCTTCTCCACTGCGGTCCCGTTGATGTGGATAGGGGGGTGGACCCTCTGCTGTTTCCTGAAGTCCACGATCATCTCCTTTGTTTTGTTGACGTTGAGTGAGAGGTTATTTTCCTGGCACCACACTCCCAGAGCCCTCACCTCCTCCCTGTACGCGGTCTCGTCATTGTTGGTAATCAAGCCTACTACTGCTGTGTCGTCTGCAAACTTAATGTTTGAGTTGAGGTGTGCTTGGCCAGGTAGTCATGGGTGAACAGGGAGTACAGGAGGGGGCTGAGCACGCACCCTTGTGGGGCCCCAGTGTTGAGGATCAGCGAAGTGGAGATGTTGTTTCCTACCTTCATCACCTGGGGGCAGCCCGTCAGGAAGTCCAGGACCCAGTTGCACAGGGCGGGATTCAGACCCAGGGCCTCGAGCTTAATGATCAGCTTGGAGGGTACTATGGTGTTGAATGCTGAGCTATAGTCAATGAACAGCATTCTTACATAGGTATTCCTCTTGTCCAGATGGGATAGGGCAGTGTGCAGTGTGATGGCGATTGCATCGTCTGTGGATCTATTGGGGCGGTAAGCAAATTGAAATGGGTCTAGGGTGACAGGTAGGGTAGAGGTGATATGATCCTTGACTAGTCTCTCAAAGCACTTCATGATGACAGAGGTGAGTGCTACAGGGCGATAGTCATTTAGTTCAGTTACCTTTGCTTTCTTGGGTACAGGAACAATGGTGGCCATTTTGAAGCATGTGGGAACAGCAGAAAGGGAGAGATTGAATATGTCCATAAACACACCAGCCAGCTGGTCTGCGCATGCTCTGAGGACGCGGCTAGGGATGCCGTCTGGGCCGGCAGCCTTGCGGGGATTAACATGCTTAAATGTCTTAATCACGTCGGCCACGGAGAAGGACAATACGGACTTTCAGCTCCCTCCAAAGATTTTCTATTGGGTTCAGGTCTGGAGACTGGCTAGGCCACTCCAGGACCTTGAGATGCTTCTTACGGAGCCACTCCTTAGTTGCCCTGGCTGTGTGTTTCGGGTCGTTGTCATGCTGGAAGACCCAGCCACGACCCATCTTCAATGCTCTTACCGAGGGAAGGAGGTTGTTGGCCAAGATCTCGCAATACATGGCCCCATCCATCCTCCCCTCAATACGGTGCAGTCGTCCTGTCCCCTTTGCAGAAAAGCATCCCCAAAGAATGATGTTTCCACCTCCATGCTTCACGGTTGGGATGGTGTTCTTGGGGTTGTACTCATCCTTCTTCTTCCTCCAAACACGGCGAGTGGAGTTTAGACCAAAAAGCTATATTTTTGTCTCATCAGACCACATGACCTTCTCCCATTCCTCCTCTGGATCATCCAGATGGTCATTGGCAAACTTCAGATGGGCCTGGACATGCGCTGGCTTGAGCAGGGGGACCTTGCGTGCGCTGCAGGATTTTAATCCATGACGGCGTAGTGTGTTAATAATGGTTTTCTTTGAGACTGTGGTCCCAGCTCTCTTCAGGTCATTGACCAGGTCCTGCCGTGTAGTTCTGGGCTGATCCCTCACCTTCCTCATGATCATTGATGCCCCACAAGGTGAGATCTTGCATGGAGCCCCAGACCGAGGGTGATTGATCATCATCTTGAACTTCTTCCATTTTCTCACCAAGCTGCTTGCCTATTGCCCTGTACCCCATCCCAGCCTTCTGCAGGTCTACAATTTTATCCCTGATGTCCTTACACAGCTCGCTGGTCTTGGCCATTGTGGAGAGGTTGGAGTCTGTTTGATTGAGTGTGTGGCAGGTGTCTTTTATACAGGTAACGAGTTCAAACAGGTGCAGTTAATACAGGTAATGAGTGGAGAACAGGAGGGCTTCTTAAAGAAAAACTAACAGGTCTGTGAGAGCTGGAATTCTTACTGGTTGGTAGGTGATCAAATACTTATGTCATGCAATAAAATGCAAATTAATTACTATATAAAATCATACAATGTGATTTTCTGGATTTTTGTTTTAGATTCCGTCTCTCACAGTTGAAATGTACATATGATAAAAATGACAGACCTCTACATGCTTTGTAAGTCGGAAAACCTGTAAAATCGGCAGTGTATCAAATACTTGTTCTCCCCACTGTATATGCTTTGTCTTCTCTACAGAAATCACTTCCACTAGTCCACTTCCTGTCTGCTGTGTGTGCCTGTCTTGAGCATGGTAATAAAACATGAGTTCACCTCCTACTGGTCATTTCAGTCCTCTTACCGGGACGCCGGGACAGTTGTACCGGGACAGTTGTACCGGGACGCTGGGACAGTTGTACCGGGACGCTGGGACAGTTGTACGGGGACGCTGGGACAGTTGTACCGGGACGCTGGGACAGTTGTACCGGGACTTTGGGACAGTTGTACCGGGACGCTGGGACAGTTGTACCGGGACGCTGGGACAGTTGTACCGGGACAGTTGTACCGGGACAGTTGTACCGGGACGCTGGGACAGTTGTACCGGGACAGTTGTACCGGGACAGTTGTACCGGGACGCTGGGACAGTTGTACCGGGACAGTTGTACCGGGACAGTTGTACCGGGACGCTGGGACAGTTGTACCGGGACACCAGGACAGTTGTACGGGGACGCTGGGACAGTTGTACCCATCTTATAAAACGGCACCTCTTTCGCGACCCCCACCAGTTGGTGGTGTTCTTTTTCAGTAACAGCACAAAGGACATGTTCACATCTATTAAAGAAACTTCCACAGAACATGAAAACTGAAAGACTATTTCAGTGATCGCTGGTTTTGCTTTTCTTTTGAACCCTGCACTCAAAAATACTTTTAATAATGAGCTATTGAGTCGAGCACCGCAATTCTATGACTTTCTAAACCATAGGATGTAACGTGGAATCAATCATGTTGTTAGTGTGGGAATCAGTCATGTTGCTATAATAATAATAATATGCCATTTAGCAGACGCTTTTATCCAAAGCAACTTACAGTCATGTGTGCATACATTTTTTGTGTATGGGTGGTCCCGGGGATCGAACCCACTCCCTTGGCGTTACAAGCGCCGTGCTCTACCAGCTGAGCTACAGAGGACCAGTGTGGGAATCGGTTAGTGTGGGAATCAGTCACGTGATGTTAGCGTAGGTCTGTGGTGTGAGGCGGATAGTTAGTGTCAACAGGAGACATGAGGAGAGTCATTCTGCTACATTAAACTGTTAACACAGAACACCATGTCTCCTGTTATCACTAGTAGCAACCACTGGCCACACACACACACACACACACACACACACACACACACACACACACACACTTACTGGTGTAGGTGTCCAGTTTGGGGTGCACCACGTTGACCTTGCCGTATTTCTCAGCTTCCTTGGCAGCATTGGACGACCAGGTGCCCGTCACTATGTAATCAGCACACCTGTCCTCCTTTAGACCAATTAGGTTGAGGGGGACGGCACTAAACTGGCCTGTCCCGCCCCCCTGGAGGAACATGACTTTGTAGTTGTCCGGGATACTCCTGGAGAGAGGGAGAGGAAGGGGGGGGGGGGGGGGGGGGGAGAGAGGGAGAGAGAGAGAGTCAAATCTAAAAATGTCAACCAGACAACCTAAGAAAATTAACAACAATGACAAATGGTTTGATGAAGAATGCAAAAATCTATGAAAATAATTGAGGAATCTATCAACATGGAACATTTCTGTGATCTTTTATTTCAGTTCATGAAACCAACACTTTACATGTTGCATTTTATATTTTTGTTCAGTATATTTTGCCAATTATAGGCTAGTCTAATTTGTTCCTCGATATATTTCATCAAGTGTAACAACGTGCACAATGATGTCCTAAATCTGTGACTGAGAGCGTTATTATATTATTATTACAGCGGTAGAATAAACAGCCTCAATATTTGCAGCCGTCTACAGTGGGGAGATAGGTGGTGGTGCATACAGTGGGGAGAACAAGTATTTGATAACCTGCAAAATCTGCAGTGTTTCCTAATTACAAAGCATGTAGAGGTCTGTAATTTCAAATACTTATGTCATGCAATAAAATACAAACGAATTACTTAAAAAATCATACAATGTGATTTTCTGGATTTATGTTTTAGATTCCGTCTCTCACAGTTGAAGTGTACCTATGATAAAAAATTACAGACCTCTACATGCTTTGTAAGTAGGAAAACCTGCAAAATCGGCAGTGTATCAAATACTTGTTCTCCCCCGCTGTAGGTGACAGGCTGATATCTCTCTAGGAGCTGATCCATTGTGAGTATTATGGAATAATTATAATGTTATGGTAAGAGTTGAATGGAGAAAGCTGATCTGAGATCAGCGCTGCCTTTCCTTCCATCTTATCAGTATCAACACATGTTCCAGTGATGCACTTAGTGAAAATTCTCCCTTCACAGTGTTTTGGGAAACGCATGCGAGTTGTTCGGCCATTATAGGAACGATGCGTTGTCAAAAACACTCGTAAGCGTAAGATCCATCGCTACCAGGAAACGGGCCCAGGACTCGAAGCCGAGCTAGTTCTGCATTCAACAGCCAATGATGTTGCCTAGCCAACGATGTGGGGTGTTCTAGAAAGATACACTGTTGCCTAGCCAATTACGTGGGGTTTTCTAGAATGCACAACTCGTCTGAAAGGCAGCCAGGGTAAAATGTCACGAGTTCAAGCAAAAGAAAGATTAAAACACATGCAGACACCAACACATTCTCCCAGACAGATTAAAACACATGCAAAGACACCAACACATTCTACCAGACAGATTAAAACACATGCAAAGACACCAACACATTCTCCCAGACAGATTAAAACACATGCAAAGACACCAACACATTCTCCCAGACAGATTAAAACACATGCAAAGACACCAACACATTCTCCCAGACAGATTAAAACACATGCAGACACCAACACATTCTCCCAGACAGATTAAAACACATGCAAAGACACCAACACATTCTCCCAGACAGATTAAAACACATGCAGACACCAACACATTCTCCCAGACAGATTAAAACACATGCAAAGACACCAACACATTCTCCCAGACAGATTAAAACACATGCAAAGACACCAACACATTCTCCCAGACAGATTAAAACACATGCAGACACCAACACATTCTCCCAGACAGTTGATAACATTCTCCAGTGGTTTCTTAAACACTCCAGAATTAAACAGAAATATGATCCAGTAGCAGAGGAAGAAAATAATAGAAAGCTAGAGGGAAGAAGAGATGATCAGTAGAAGAGATGATCAGTAGAAGAGATGATCAGTAGAAGAGATGATCAGTAGAAGAGATGATCAGAAGAAGAGATGATCAGAAGAAGAGATGATCAGAAGAAGAGATGATCAGTAGAAGAGATGATCAGTAGAAAAGATGATCAGAAGAAGAGATGATCAGTAGAAGAGATGATCAGTAGAAAAGATGATCAGAAGAAGAGATGATCAGAAGAAGAGATGATCAGTAGAAGAGATGATCAGTAGAAAAGATGATCAGTAGAAGAGATGATCAGTAGAAAAGATGATCAGAAGAAGAGATGATCAGTAGAAGAGATGATCAGTAGAAGAGATGATCAGTAGAAGAGATGATCAGTAGAAGAGATGATCAGAAGAAGAGATGATCAGAAGAAGAGATGATCAGTAGAAGAGATGATCAGTAGAAGAGATGATCAGTAGAAGAGATGATCAGAAGAAGAGATGATCAGTAGAAGAGATGATCAGTAGAAGAGATGATCAGAAGAAGAGATGATCAGTAGAAGAGATGATCAGTAGAAGAGATGATCAGTAGAAGAGATGATCAGTAGAAAAGATGATCAGAAGAAGAGATGATCAGTAGAAGAGATGATCAGTAGAAGAGATGATCAGTAGAAAAGATGATCAGTAGAAGAGATGATCAGAAGAAGAGATGATCAGTAGGATTGTGTGTACACTCACAGCAGCTCCCGTAACAGGTTCTCTGTGATGTTCACGATCTTGGTGAAGTCTGACGACCGATGGCTCATCTCTGCACGGACAGAATAAAATACAATAAAATAAATTAGCTAGCTAATAAAGACACCATGTCATTAAAACATGACAGACAGGCCCCACTGGGCAAAGACGGCTATTCCACATTGGTTTTAATTTCATTGAGATTACGTGGAAACGGGGCTCCCGAGTGGCACAGCGGTCTAAGGCACTGCATCGCAGTGCTAGAGGCGTCACTACAGACCTGGGTTGAATGAGTAGGTGTGTCCAAACTTTTGACTGGTACTGTATGTATGCATGCATGTATGTATATATATATATATATATACACATACATACATACATACATACACAAATATATATAAAATAATAATTACATGGAAATAATGTTGATTCAACCAGTGTGTGCCCACTGGAGCAGACAGAGAGAGACACTAACCCAGGACACTGATCCCGCTGCCATTATAGTCCAGCAGTTCTCTCTGCGCCTGGAACAGCACCTGGGGACACAGCACATTCACGTTTAAATTCAAATCATTCACTTCAATGAAAACCCTTACAAGTCTTGAATACATTTATTTTAGTTTGAATACAGGTCATTCTAAATCAAATCAAATTTTCTTGTTAACATACACATATTTAGCAGATGTTATTGCGGGTGTAGCGAAATGCTTGTGTTCCTAGCTCCAACAGTGCAGTAGTATCTAACAATTCACAACAATACACACATCTAAAAGTAAAAGAATGGAATTAAGCCATATATAAATATTAGGACGAGCAATGTCAGAGTGGCATTGACTAGAATACAGTAGAATAGATTACGGTATATACATAAGAGATATGAGATGAGTAAAGCAGTATGTAAACATGATTTAAGTGACCAGTGTTCCATTATTAAAGTGGCCAGTGACTCCATGTCTATGTATATAGGGCAGCAGCCTCTAAGGTGTAGGGTTGAGTAGCCGGGGGAACACAATGAACTGGTGGCAGCCGGATAAAATCAACAACTTTTGGATGATCCCTACCCGACTTGACAGTGGTTCTAGCACCCAGAGGTGAATAGCATCGCTTGGCACCGAAGCATAGACTTACAGGATTTTCCACATGAATGGTTAGGCGGCTGATGCAACTCAACCATCTAGTTTCACCAAGCGACTCGCCTCGCAGCCTACTCTTGCATGACGCCAAGATTTTTCCTCATGTTTTAACACGTTGTTTCTGTTCACAGTGATCAAATCGTCAGTTTAAAAATATAAATCTATCATGCTGTTTCAATGACGAAGGGATGCAACAGCGCAATCGCTTGCCTGCTCTTATCAAATAAAACGCATCAAAGATAAAAAAAAAACTTTGCACTTTTGCAACTTGCATTACGGAAAAAGTAGCATCCATACCATTCATTTCGGTTTCTCTTCATGTTACAGGCTACAAGCATTTACTTCTTCGGTTTTCTAATGCACAGTAAAAAGTCAACTTACAGACTGTGGTAGTTTTGCAGGTCCAGCACCGAAGTTGATGGTCTGTTTCTTTTCCATGTTTAAAGTGATTGTGTTTCTTTCTGTGAAGTGGCTGTTGCTTCCTGCTCCGTGATGCGGATTCTCTAATGCGCCTCTCCTCTCTCTGTTTCATCACCGAGCAGCATCCAAAACCCGCAGAGGCTCATTCAGCATTTCCTATTAGCCAATCTCACATGCCAAGGAGGACTGTTCAGGCAGTCATTGGTTGATATCATTTTTTTTGCGATCGTGATTGGTTTATCTATCACGCCACCAAAACGTGATCAGCACACACACGCACGCACATGCAAGTAAGTACCCAGCTAGCACGTTACTGTGCACCGGATTAGACGACAATCACCCGGTTAAAAGGTGGAAACATCTTACCAATCACACCATTCATATTGTGTGATGCGCGACCCATTAGGCCTTGAAAATGTATGCACTCACTAACTGTAAGTCGCTCTGGATAAGAGCGTCTGCTAAATGACTAACATGTAACTGTAAACAAACACTGTATAGCCTCAAGCTATATCATGCATGGCCAGTCCTCGCAGCTCTGGCTATGAATTTGAGAGTGGTAACATGTCTCCAGCCCCGTCCCATTTTACCCGAAAAACAGGGACATGGACGATGCTTTATTGTTTCTGCTGCTGATTGCCGCTTTAAGCGCTTTTCATTCGCTTGACATTGTAACCTGCAGTAGGCTCTCTGTGTCAGGGCAGTATAATGAAAAGACTGTCTCCTACTACCCTGACCCAAGGGCTTTTGGTCTTGCTGGCAAAGGTTAATCCCCTGTCAGTTAGAGCAAAAGGCCTGAAGGGTCTTGTTCAAAGACTAGGGAAGACTTACATACACCCATGTTACAATGTCATATTTCGTATATCGTTGTAGTTGTTGTTATTGTTGTTGTAGGAAGACACCTCATAAGGGCAAACATCAATTGGAATTAGGGACATGTGACTACAGGGTTGGTGCAAGAGGGATTGGGGGGGACAAATTGATTTCGGGGAGAGAGGGGAAAGAAATAGGCTGCGTTCTGATACCCCTGCATCCACAAGTGTTCACGCTTTCATTTCACCTCATGCTATTAAAAAGCATTGGATTGGTGCAAGCATGATGGGGAGACATTCCACCACAGCACAAGACCACTGGACGACCCCAGGATATTGGGAATATTGGGAAATAAAGAAGAAACAATCCACCACCTAAAACAGGATCAGGCAACAGTGTAAAATCATGTTTAATTACAGTACTGTAAACAGCATTTTATCAAGTTATACAGTGTTGATTTTTTTTTTAGTTGAGTTACATTAACGACAATGCTTTCCTTTCAAATGACAGAACTGGATTGGTAACTATGGGCGATCACTTAACACCTCCTGCAATACCCGGCGCCGCAAAGCTGCTGGTTATAACCACAGTGTGTCAGCCTATAACCTGTTTAGGGTAAGGGTTTGGTTTACGGTGGTAGGGTACCCGGTTTAGGGTAAGGGTTTGGTTTACGGTGGTGGGGTACCCGGTTTAGGGTAAGGGTTTGGTTTACAGTGGTGGGGGACCCGGTTTAGGGTAAGGGTTTGGTTTACGGTGGTAGGGTACCCGGTTTAGGGTAAAGGTTTAGTTTACGGTGGTGGGGTACCCGGGTTAGGGTAAGGGTTTAGTTTACGGTGGTAGGGTACCCGGTTTAGGGTAAGGGTTTGGTTTACGGTGGTGGGGTACCCGGTTTAGGGTAAGGGTTTAGTTTACGGTGGTAGGGTACCCTGTTTAGGGTAAGGGTTTGGTTTACGGTGGTAGGGTACCCGGTTTAGGGTAATGGTTTGGTTTACGGTGGTAGGGTACCCGGTTTAGGGTAAGGGTTTGGTTTACGTGGTGGGGTACCCGGTTTAGGGTAAGGGTTTGGTTTACGTGGTGGGGTACCCGGTTTAGGGTAAGGGTTTAGTTTACGGTGGTAGGGTACCCGGTTTAGGGTAAGGGTTTGGTTTACAGTGGTGGGGGACCCGGTTTAGGGTAAGGGTTTGGTTTACGGTGGTGGGGTACCGGTTTAGGGTAAGGATTTGGTTTACGGTGGTGGGGTACCCAGTTTAGGGTAAGGGTTTGGTTTACGGTGGTAGGGTACCCGGTGTAGGGTAAGGGTTTGGTTTACGGTGGTAGGGTACCCGATTTAGGGTAATGGTTTGGTTTACGGTGGTAGGGTACCCGATTTAGGGTAATGGTTTGGTTTACGTGGTGGGGTACCCGGTTTAGGGTAAGGGTTTGGTTTACGGTGGTAGGGTACCCGGTGTAGGGTAAGGGTTTGGTTTACGGTGGTAGGGTACCCGGTGTAGGGTAAGGGTTTGGTTTACGGTGGTAGGGTACCCGATTTAGGGTAATGGTTTGGTTTACGGTGGTAGGGTACCCGGTGTAGGGTAAGGGTTTGGTTTACGGTGGTAGGGTACCCGATTTAGGGTAATGGTTTGGTTTACGGTGGTAGGGTACCCGATTTAGGGTAATGGTTTGGTTTACGGTGGTGGGGTACCCGATTTAGGGTAAGGGTTTGGTTTACGGTGGTAGGGTACCCGATTTAGGGTAATGGTTTGGGGTACGGTGGTAGGGTACCCGGTGTAGGGTAATGGTTTGGTTTACGGTGGTGGGGTACCCGATTTAGGGTAAGGGTTTGGTTTACGGTGGTAGGGTACCCGATTTAGGGTAATGGTTTGGGGTACGGTGGTAGGGTACCCGGTGTAGGGTAATGGTTTGGTTTACGGTGGTAGGGTACCCGGTGTAGGGTAATGGTTTGGGGTACGGTGGTAGGGTACCCGGTGTAGGGTAAGGGTTTGGTTTACGGTGGTAGGGTACCCGGTGTAGGGTAAGGGTTTGGTTTACGGTGGTAGGGTACCCGGTGTAGGGTAATGGTTTGGGGTACGGTGGTAGGGTTGGGAGTAGGAGCTAAAGGCCCAGGCACCCATGGCTGAATGGGGGAGAGACAAGAAGACCAGTAGAGGAGGAGCGGAGGGAGGGGGCGTAGACTTGGAGAAGATCAGAGAGGAGGAGCGGAAGGAGGGGGAGGGAGCGGGAGGGGGCGTAGACTGGGAGAAGATCAGAGAGGAGGAGCGGAGGGAGGGGGAGGGAGCGGGAGGGGGCGTAGACTGGGAGAAGATCAGAGAGGAGGAGCGGAGGGAGGGGGCGTAGACTGGGAGAAGATCAGAGAGGAGGAGCAGAGGGAGGGGGAGGGAGCGGGAGGGGGCGTAGACTGGGAGAAGATCAGAGAGGAGGAGCGGAGGGAGGGGGCGTAGACTGGGAGAAGATCAGAGAGGAGGAGCGGAGGGAGGGGGAGGGAGCGGGAGGGGGCGTAGACTGGGAGAAGATCAGAGAGGAGGAGCGGAGGGAGGGGGAGGGAGAGGGAGGGGGCGTAGACTGGGAGAAGATCAGAGAGGAGGAGCGGAGGGAGTGGGAGGGGGCGTAGACTGGAAGAAGATCAGAGAGGAGGAGCGGAGGGAGGGGGCGTAGACTGGGAGAAGATCAGAGAGGAGGAGCGGAGGGAGGGGGCGTAGACTGGGAGAAGATCAGAGAGGAGGAGCGGAGGGAGGGGGCGTAGACTGGGAGAAGATCAGAGAGGAGGAGCGGAGGGAGGGGGCGTAGACTGGGAGAAGATCAGAGAGGAGGAGTATTTTTAAGTTAATACAGGATTGGTTTGATGTGTTCAGCTGATCTGGTGTGGATTCTGGCAGCAGTTCAGAACCAGTTGGAGTCTATTGATGAGTTTGGTGGGGATCTGGTGAGGAGAGTGTTACAGTATTCGAGTCAGGAAGTAACCAAGGCATCTGGTGAGGAGAGTGTTACAGTATTCGAGTCAGGAAGTAACCAAGGCATCTGGTGAGGAGAATGTTACAGTATTCTAGTCAGGAAGTAACCAAGGCATCTGGTGAGGAGAATGTTACAGTATTCTAGTCAGGAAGTAACCAAGGCATCTGGTGAGGAGAATGTTACAGTATTCTAGTCAGGAAGTAACCAAGGCGTCTGGTGAGGAGAATGTTACAGTAGTCTAGTCAGGAAGTAACCAAGGCATCTGGTGAGGAGAATGTTACAGTATTCTAGTCAGGAAGTAACCAAGGCATCTGGTGAGGAGAATGTTACGGTAGTCAGGAAGTAACCAAGGCATGGATGAGGGTTGCAGTGCTGGAGCGTGACAGAGAGGGGTGGAGTCTGGAGATATTGCAGAGGTGGAAGAATGCTGTCCGGGTGCTGGTTTTTATGTGGAGTTGGAAAGAGGGGGAACTATCCAGGGAGACACCGAGGCTTTTGACGTGTGTTTACAGAGGGACGGGGAAACCATCTGTGGTGATGCTTGGAGAGAGTGGATTTAGAGCTGATGAGCATGACCTCTGTCTTGTTGCTGTTGAGGTTGAGGAGGTTCATGTCTCAAAAGTTTTGAGAATGACACAAATATTAATTTTCACAAAGTCTGCTGCCTCAGTTTTTATGATGGCAATTTGCATATACTCCAGAATGTTATGAAGAGTGATCAGATGAATTGCAATTAATTGCAAAGTCCCTCTTTGCCATGAAAATGAACTTAATCCCAAAACAACATTTCCACTGCATTTCAGCCCTGCCACAAAAGGACCAGCTGACATCATGTCAGTGATTCTCTCGTTAACACAGGTGAGAGTGTTGACGAGGACAAGGCTGGAGATCACTCTGTCATGCTGATTGAGTTAGAATAACAGACTGGAAGCTTTAAAAGGAGGGTGGTGCTTGAAATCATTGTTCTTCCTCTGTTAACCATGGTTACCTGCAAGGAAACACGTGCCGTCATCATTGCTTTGCACAAAAAAGGGCTTCACAGGCAAGGATATTGCTGCTAGTAAGATTGCACCTAACTCAACCATTTATCGGATCATCAAGAACTTCAAGGAGAGAGGTTCAGTTGTTGTGAAGAAGGCTTTATGGATGATTTTCTAGTGCATATGTTGTAGAATGAAACGCCTATATGCCTTAAATGTTTATGGATTAAGAACCAATTAAAGGGTTAAAACAGAGCAGGGACATTTATTTAGTGCAAATGCTGTGCTTCTGATAAGAATGGTTCGTTCTTAACTCTCTGCAGCTGGTCTGGGTATGTCAATGACATGTGATGGAGATACAACTTCTCGTTGTAGCTGTGTGGAGATTGGAGTAA